CCATAATTTACGACTGTTCAGAATTGTTGAGTAATATAAAGGTATTATTACGAATTCACAAATTTGTAACAATGTATCATCATTGGCATTGTGTTAAATATGAATGTAAACAGTGAAAGTAAGATATTTTGGGTTGATTGGGTGTTTACAATATTTTTTGATTTGTTTGCAGTCATTTATATTTTTTATTGTGAGCCTAAGAGAAAATCTGGAATTAATTTATGGTTCTAGATTTGAATACAGTTGTGTCAGAATATACCGTACGTGTTAATCCTTACTTTGGATCGTTCCTGGCCACAAGTGCAGAAACGAAGATCAGCTCGGCTAGGCAAATACGCGCAAGCTCCCATTGTCGAAAGCAAACGCCCTGTGTAGATAAATGTTTATTCCATTCACAACTTAAACAACGAAGGGCGATATGAAAGGGCCGCTGTTTCAATAGACTGCCTGCGCATCTGTGAATGGTCGTAGGGCTATTCATTACACGTCCAGCGCAATGGCCAAGTTAATATCTCTTGCACTTCCTTTCCCTTTTCCGACAAGTCCGTTATCTCTTCTCTCATGCGTCTTGGCTTTGAGCTCTTTCATTCCTTATGGAGATAGAACGTTGTCTAGGCGACCCATTCAGGTCTTCTCTCTGGTCCCTGTCAACACGTTCTGCTTGCACTTACAATAACTTCGTCGGCTGTTGCTCTCCTGTTTCCACATTCTTTTGTAATCAAATAGTAGCGAATATTTTTGGTGATCTATTTTCTTCAATTCATTTGTTTATTAATCTTTGTTAAATTATTTATTTTACAGAGCGCATCATCTTTTCTCGTTATGAAGGATTCCTATTTAATTTCTGTTTTTTGAAGTGCAATTTCGCTTACTATTCTTCTATGTTTCTTTCCTTACCACTTTCACTCTCCTTGGTTTTCTCTCTACGGTGGTTCTTTTTCTCGCTGCTTCTTAATTTATCTCACCTCATCTCTTAATTTATCTCATCTGTCACCCTCTCTCCCGCTCTTTTCATTCCCTTTTCTTTTCAAACTCTATGATATGATTCTTTCTCTCTCTTCTTCTTTGATGTCCCCACAACTTTCTATTGCTCATTTCTCTATGCTTACATTCACCTCTCGCCTTGCACTTCTATCGCTCTGTTTTCTTGTTATTTTTGTCTTGCGTAGCCTTTGAACGAATCCTTGTCCTCCCCTTTCTCTTTTTCTCACTCATTGTCTTCTACTTTGTCCACTTTTTACCGACATCTTTAGCATTCTATCTCTGTCACCGGTAAATGTCCATTCTCTCAAACACTATCCCGTTCTCTCTTTCCCTGTTTGGTTCATCTCCGTTTGTTTCTCTCTTACTCTTTTCACTTCCTTAATTCCCTTTCTTACCCCCTTTACCATTTCGTCTTTCCCTTCCTCTCCTTCCACTCTGACTCATCCTTCTCTAGGACTCGTCTTTTCCTCTATTTCTCATTTCCTCGCTATTCTCCCCTATTCCCTTATCCTCTTTTCCTCTCGACTGCCTGCCACGTCCACTCATCTCGTGTTGGGTCTTCTCGAGGGCCGCTCTCTCCACTTCCTATTCAGTCCCCGAACTTTATTCCCTTCCCCTCTTCTCTCTCAATGTTGCCCTCTCCATTTTCTCTTTCCTTTATTGTCTCTCAGCCTGTCTCTCTTCTGACTACTTTCTTCTTCTTCTTCTTCGCTCTCTCTTTTTTCTCTTCTCAGCCGTCTATTCTTTCTTCCTCACCATCTTGATTTCTCTTTTTTTTCTCATTCTCTGTCCGACTCTCCTACCTGTATTCCTTCTCTCCTAGCCATATTCGTGTTCTGTTCTTATCCATATTCCTTTTCTTCTCTTACGCATAATGCTCTTCCTCCCCCCTTTCCATTCTCCTTTCTCTCTCTCTCTCTGTCTCTTTTTCTCTCGTCTTCCGTCTCCCTCCCTGCGAGCTGCACGGGACCCTCTCTCTACTTCGCGCTCCAACGGACAGTGGCGAGCCCCCGCGCGGCGCCGTTTGTCACCCGCCCCGCCCCCAGTGCCTGCACGCCGCCCGGCCCCTTCTCCCCCGCGGCGTCGCGCAGGCCGCCCTCACAGTGCAGACGATTGTGGACGAAAATTCGGCCGGCAGACGCGTGATGGAAGGGCGTGGGTCAGCTACATCCGACTCCAGCCAATGCGCTTTGGGCACCAGTATGCGCACCCACAGTAGAGGGAATGTTAAATGCACGCCAGTTACCAAAGCAGTCGCCTTGCGACGAGTCGTTGAAACAGATATATAAAGCACTTTTTTAAACTATTGCCTCTTTTATTTCGATTATTCATTCATCGTTGTTGTTTTTTTTGTTGTTGTTGAAAATTGTCACTTCATGCCACTTTCAAAATGTTTCTCAACACTTCTCGCTCTTCATGCAACATGCGTGTGGTCTAGATTTTCAAACAAAGTGTCCGTGCCGTGGTCACGTGGTTCGTAACGCAAACTGGCGCTGCTCAGAACGAGCAAAAATCGGTGTTCCGGAAGAGTCTACCATCTCTTTCCACCACGATCTTCGATCAAACACGTGCAAACACGCGTTTGGGCTATCGTTGGCTGCCGAACGAAGGTTAGTACTGTCGGTTCCATTCCCCACAAATCAGTTGGAAAGCAACTGACATCTGTAACACCATGATCACCTGCGATACATGTATATTGTCTCACAAATGTTTCAATTGTTCAAGCAAATATGTTATCATCTGGTAACCTCCGTTTATGTTTATTTGTCAAAGAAACTGACATTCTCACACATCGAGATACTTCGAAGTACCTACAGCACGCATGTTCAACCAAAAACATTAAAGATCTAAGACCGTTTTACGCAGTATGAATACTTTTCGGCAGTTTATAAATTCAAAAGAAGGGGAAATTGCGTTTAAATTAAAAAGTGAAGCCAATTTTATTTTTCGTTACGTGACAACTCTTATTCTTCAGAATACGTTCCACTTCCGCTTACATTTCCGGAACTACTCGCCCTCGGTGCTTCCAGACCGTCGTTTCCCTTCAGCCCAAGATCGTTTGACTTTCCATTCCTGGTGTATCTTTCGTTTTGTCTTCGCTGCTGTTTCTGGATATCTCGCCGCGCGCCATCAATCTCCCTCGTCGCCCACGCGCGGCCCCGCACCTCCGAGTAACGGCGCCCCGGCGGCGCCAATGGAAAGGAATGGCCCCGCGCGGAAATTGAAACGAGTTCGAAAACTGTCATCGCCCCCGCACCCGCCCCGCTCCGTCCCGCCCTCCCCGGCCCTTCCCCGCCCCGCCCCGCCCCGCCCAGCCAGGCTCTCGCAATCGCGCGGGCGGTTTTTTACACTCCCGCCACGCCCCACCCCCTTCCGCCCCGCCCTCCCGCCCACCCGCTTCCACCAAACCGACCGCACCGGCTGCTCCGTTCCGTCCCTCCGTGTACGCCCGCTCGCCCGCCCGCCATCTATACATCCATCCCGCCCACGCACCACCCACTCGCCTTCCCACTCGCCTTCCCACTCGCCTTCCCACTCGCCTCCCACTCGCCCACACACTCGCCCAACACTCGCCCACACCACTCGGCCCACAACACTCGCGCCACACACTCGCCCACTCACTAGCCCACCGCCTGACCTGCCCCCTGAGCCCACCCATACTTGCTCCTTTCTCACTTTTAGCCTGTCACCCCCGACTTTTCTCTCACCTCATCTCTCTATTCTCTCGCCCTCACCCTCCCTCTCTCGTTCTCGCATATCTGCCTTTCCCATAACCGTCGCCCAGTAACCAACGGCAATGCGTCGTTGCAAACCTCGCCCCTTTTTCTCGCACTCATGAAGATCCTGCCCTCGCCCTCGTCCCTCGTCCTCGTCCTCGTTCCTTGCCTCGTCCTCGTACTTGCCCTCGCATTCGCCAATACCGTCCCTCAGCCCCAGTCATGACTATTCTTCCTCTTCTTTGCCTCTTCACTGCTCATCTCCAAGCCCACTCATTCAACCCATTGTCGCCTTCCTTTCAACCTCACATCACCGCCCCTGCCACCACCCATATGCCCGCCCGATCAACACTCTGACATTGCCCAATTCGCCATATCCGGTCAGCGCATGTCACCTACCCAGTATCGTTTAATTACCCGTTGTCATCATCAAACCTGAGAACTAGGCTTCGCGCGCCGGAGTCAGTATTTACTTGGCTGACCGTGTCGCAGAATGGCACCTAAACGGTCGGCACCTTCGCTATGGACGCGGCGTTCACCCGAACAGCCAATTAAAATATCACCAATTGCCACTGGCCCAATTCCTCCGCCTCATCTCCGTTCCCGTCATCATCTGCACCCTTCTCTCGAATCCATCCCGCATGACAGTTCTCATCTCCATCCTAGTTACCACCATCACTGTTCTATTCGTTCCACAGTACCACCTATATTCCCCTCTCTCCCATCCCTATCACCCCTACCACCTCCTCTTCCGGCCATCGGCCATCCAGCACCCGCGGCACAGTCTCCGCCATTTTATTGAATCCCTCTGCCCCTCCCGTCCTCCATCACCCGCTCCCTCGGCCTCCTACACATTTTATTCTGTTTTATTATCCGCCTTCCCATCTTATTGTAGGGCTCGGAATTTACGCCAGTACATAACCCAGCCGGGCATTGTGCCTGCACTTCGGGTGCCCCCTTCGCCCAATGGATGTCCGCCCCATATTGCGCGGGTGGCAGTATTTCAATTCATTTCCCACTTGTGAATTGGGGAACGTTGATGGGGAGGGGGAAGTCTTTTTTTTAACCTTTTTCTTTGTCTCTGTCTCTCTTTTTTATTCTCCTTGTTTCTATTCGTTAATAAATTGCCCATTGAAACGAAGTCCTTGCTATTGCTTCCGTAGTTGATTAGCTGGTCCATGGCCCTCTACAATTCACGAGCGCACTCAACTCGAGTGATGAACGTTCTTTAAATGCTTCACAATTAACGGAGCAGAAAAGGGGGGTTGTTTTTAATGGGGCGTGAGTGGTCGTTTTTTCATGTTCTTGTCGTTTGTGGTAGTGTATGAACTGTTCAGACGCGGTGTAATGCGTTGGTATTTTTGTGATTCATGGGATGTCTCGGTGCTGATAGGTGAGGTTCTCCTAATATACGTTTATTTTAATCGCCCGGAATGAAAGAATATTTCAAGTAGAGGGGTTTTCCCCGAAAATGTAACGTTACAAGCATTGTGCGTATGTTACGACCTTTTTATGATTATAAATATATGTTCTCTTTTGTTTCCTTTTCTCACATTTCAGTCTCTTTGTCAGTTCTCAAAATACAAGGAATTCAAACACTCCTGTCACATTCTTTCATTCACTTCTTAATTTTGGATTCTCTCTAATTTTTCTTATGTCTGAAGCATTTTCCACATCTGTCTTCCATTCTGTTCTCTCTCTTATTTCTTACTGTTCTATCTACGTTGCCGGATATATATTTGAACTTGTGCAATTTATTTTTTTATCTTAGCTCCAGTCGTAACTTATATCTCATCCTTGATAACTGAAATGTGATATTTGTTCTATTGTTTGGTTCTCCAGGCATATCTATATTCTAATTGAATAGATTCCTTGACCATGCTATAAAGCCATGACCTACGTTTTGTGTTTTGATATTTTAATGTTATAATTTTTACACAGATTTAATTGATGGAGTGCCATTTGGAGATAATTTTCCTTTTCAAACATTATAACTTGGTCATCAGCAAATAGCAGAGTATTGATATAATTATTTCCGTTCAATCTCATCCCTTGTTTTGCTATTAATTTCCATTCTCTAAGAATAACGTCTATATAGATGTTAAATAATATTGGGGAAGGGCTGCAACCTTGTTTTAATCCTTAGTTAGTTTTTAATGGTTGTGATTGTTGTGAATTTACTTTTATTCGGAAATTTGTATTTGTATATAAATTTTTAGTTATGTTTATTAAATGTTTTGAAAAGCCTTTTCGATCCATTATGGCCCACAACCTTCTCCTGTTTATACGGTCGAAGGCTTTTTCAGAATCAATTAATGCAATGTGCTTGTCTAAATTATTCTCTCTTCTCTCTTCGTTTTTCAATTTGATTTTTTAAAATTTTGCCACATCCCGCTAAACAGTGACGAATCTTTAAATTTAGCTGCGATTGATTTATTTCAAATAGTGTTCTCATCTGTAGGTTTTTGTACCCAAATGGTTCATTCTCCAGCCTCTCCCGTAGCCTCAGCCGTAGCCTGGATTTTGTAAATTCTCGCACAGATTGTATTTCTTCATCTCATACCTCATGCAAAATGTATTTGGTCGATTTTAGGTCGACTTTTGCTGACTAGCTAACGTTGTTCCCTTGGCCTGGATCTAGTTTAATTCCCGCACTTGGGGGGGTAAGAGACGACCTGTGGCGAATGTGACGAGTTTCCGACACCGTAACTAGCAAACTTCCTCTGCTGGAGCTTCTCTTCGTCCCCCAGCCGCAGAAACTGAGGCGATTTTAAACGAAAGCTACAACTCTATTTGTGCCTCGACCAGGAATCAACCGGGGCAATCATGCAAAATAAACTAATAAAATACAAGTTCTTTTCTTGCTTAACATTTACTTATGGATCAAATTTTGAGTTCATAAAGATAGTTGCAAATCTATGTAAAATTCATTCAGTATTGAATGTGATTCATTATTGGTAGACTTTTCTAGTTTTGAATAAATGGTATTGTCTTTGGGTTATTCCATTTTTGGAAACTTTGTAAGGTCATATTACATTGTTATATTACATTCTGGTATTAGCCAACTAGTGTTAAAACCGTTAATATCAACTCACGTTAAATATTATTTTGAGATAAAAGTAAAAATTATCTTTGAATGACCAAATATTACAATTTTTAGAATGTAGATGCACAAATAATAAATGATAAAGAAAAATATGTTATTGGTTCGAAGTTACGATGGAAAACGCAAAAAGAATGCACGACGTTCTGCCCTAAAACGTACGCTCATGGCCGGTTTATCATGATGGCACTCGCTTATAGCCGGTTTATCATGATGGGCTAATTCGTTTCCAAAAATTTAATATCTTGCAATTTTTTGAGTAACGTGTGTCAATTAGGTAGAAAACTTTAGAAAAGTTGGGTGATTTTATTTTCTTTAATTAATTTATTTGTTTATTTATTTATTATAATCAAAAAGTAAAAAACTGTATGTAAAGTAGAGGGAGAAGTAAGAGCGCAGCTTTAATCGATACCTTTCCATATTTTGAAAATACGTTAGGCTGATGGTTACTGGTGGTATTGGTATTGCTTACTGATAACCGTCGATGATATGTTGACAATTTTCATTGATATACGTTTTTTGTAAAGTTTGTGAATCGTGTATATTGTTATTCTATATTTATCTCGTTATCAACTCGTTATTTAGCTCTTTGATGTTTATAAACTTTGTTTTTACAGATTTATTTATTTGGCTTCATACAAATATGAATTGTTTTGATAATCATTAATTTAAATAGTTATATTTTACTCTAATAGCCAAAATATATATGCGGTGAATTCCCTGTTTTTTAGCATTTTCTTGAACCCTGCGAATTTTTAACAGGACCATGTTCAAGAGATTTTTCATTCACATACATCTTCTTCATTGTCGATGTCTTTCTCCCTCTGACAAAAATGCTAGAAAAACAATGAAGATGTGTCCAGATATTAAATATTCTATCTCTTCGTGAACCCTCGCAGTCGACACCAACTCCAATCCTCGTGTTGCAGGCTACTCCCTGAAGGCATTAGAGCCGACCGCCTCCTATTTGGCAGCAATTCGGCCACTAATGGCGGCCCTTTATTGAGGCCAGCCTCTAATGAACCACGGCCCCTCCCCTCCCCACCCCGCGGCTCCCTTGTGATCAGTCCTGGGACAGACCGACGCGACGCCAGTGGCTAAGTGGCCCTGCAAGCACAGAGCCCGGCATTACCATTCCATTACGCTTTAATACCGGAGCGAAACGCACGTGACTATCACCTCACGGGCGACAGAAGGTCGGGCGAGCTACGCCCCGAGGTGGCTGGCCGTTTGCCGGGGGTGATTTCCGACGTTTAAGCCTTTCTAAGCGTTACACGCAGACTCGCTCCGCCGCATTTAAATTGCAAACCCGTTCGCTCTTTCGGTTGTAGGCGGGACTGCGGCGAGAGGTGGAGATAGTAGCGACGGACGCCGCGCGGCGCGCTGGCTGCATGTGTGTGTTAGCGGTTTACCGCTAGATGGCATTGCAATGCTTAACTCCGGGGGCTTCCTGTGCCGCAGGCCGTAGCTTGTTACCGCTTGTGTCGGTTGAGTTCAATGTCTCGGCTCGTTGGTCTAGGGGTATGATTCTCGCTTAGGGTGCGAGAGGTCCCGGGTTCAAATCCCGGACGAGCCCTTGTTTTTTTGTCGTTTCTTTTCAGTTCATATAAGTTTTACAGTTGATATTAAAGGATTCCGAAATACTTTCTATGCAAAATTACCCCATATCATAGCTGTATAAAAGGAAGAGAGGGATAATTAATTCAAAGAATGATAAGATTGTATTACGTTAACATTACCCCATTCCTTTATGTATACTATATTTTCTCCTGCAAACTGACCATCTGCTGTTCATGACACAATATTAACTTATCTCACTATTTAATCCGTTCAATAAGGTTTAGAAAAGAGATTTTATTTATTATTGCAAGATCATGATAAATATGTTATAATAAATCGTCTCTTACGAATTGTATTTCTTCCTATATGTCACATACAATTTTAAATATTTGAATGATATTTATTTATATCTCGAATATATTACACCTGCGAGATACACATAAATAAAAAATAAGTAAACAGCACTTTTTACATTTGGAGTTTCATACGGAAAAAAAATTGTTTTAAATTAATTTTTTTAACCATGTAAATAAATGTATTTATAATTACTTATTTCATCTCTTAATTCTTATTTACAATTATTGTCAAATAATTCCCAATAAAATAAGTCTTTAAATTGTGAAGATACTTTTGCACGTCTGTAATTTACATGTATTATGCCCCGCCCCTTGATCTGTTTGTGTACTTTTTATTAGTTGAAGAATTAATAATGAAATGAATGGAAAAGTATGTAGGGAAAATCATATAGGCGGTAGTACACGATCCGCATTGCTATTTTTGACGGACGGCTTCAGCCAAGTGCAATTTTCTAAATATAAACAATAAAAGAAGTATTTACGTTGAGATTAATATCTTAAGGAGTCTTAAAAACGGTCAAACATATAACGTAATACGTAAACGTCCCTAAATATTTTGAAGGGAAATATGTATTAACTAGTGGTCTACAACAGAACATACTTTCTCGTATTATTTCTAAGTTTTGCAATTTTCGAAAATTCAGAGAGTCCAACGAAATTGAGACCTCACTGTTCCCGCCAAACGAGTGACTGCCGAGATATCTGGGGGCATAGGATTAAAACTTGAGCATACCGCGAGAGTTTTCAAGAGCACCCGGATAAGTAGCAGTCAATAGTTTCGGAATTATTCCATGTTACATTTAGGTAACTAATTTAGAAACAGCTGTGTATTAATATCCTGTACCAAACATCCACGAAGTTACTTAATTTATTTAATTTTGTACTGACACGTTAAAGATCGTAATTGCCTTCAATATGCAGCTCCATGTACACTGCATAACTTACCTGAATTGAAAAGATCCTGGTTGCCAGGGAAATATGAAAACAGTTGAATAGTGCTACATATTCTCTAATGGCGGGAATTATGTGAGGAAAATATGAAAGACAAACCTAGTCAAGGTAACATTTAGTTAATTAGTAAATAAGTGAAATTGAGTGCTTAAATTATGTAAAAAAATAAAGTTATGTATGTACCAAGGGCGTTAACTGGTTCTAATGATCGGGCGGCGACACAATGCTCGCGAGTCTTTGGCCCTTGGGCCAAATTGATCGATCATTAGAACACTTATAACGCCCTTGGTGCGTAAATAGCTAATTTAGCTTTGTCAAGCTGTTGAAGACGCAAAAGCTCAGTAAATAGCAAAGCGCGCGCGCGTGTGCGTGTGTGTGTACGTGTGTGTGTGCGTATGCGTGCGTGTGTGCGCGCGCGTGTGTGTGTGCATGCGTATGCGTGCGTGTGTGCGCGCGCGTGTGTGTGTGTGTGCGTGTGTGTGTGTGTGCTCCGTAGGTATCATCAGGCGCCGGGTGTGTTTGTTTCTATCCTTATTCCTTAACCTTAAGAAGCTGTTGGTGACGCGTGTGTGTGTGTGCTTGTGTGTGCTGCAGAGGTGTCGTCGGGCGCCGGATGGGGCGGGCGCGCGTGCTGCGGCCTGCCGCAGGCCCTGGCCTGCCGCCGCGCCTGCGCCACCGCCTCGTCGCGCCAGGCCCTGCGCCCGGCCTGCAGGCTCAGCGACGAGCTCGCCTTCTTCGCCTGCGTCGACCGACAGCAGGTACTGTCATCCGCCCACGAAGCGATGGCCAACTTAGAACAACCTCCTGTGTGGACAAGGAGGAGGGGAAGGAAAAACAAAAACACTATTTGATGTTAATAATGTACAGTTGGCTATGTTTAGGCACGCTATACTTTCTATTTAATACTTCATTTAATATTAAAAGATAAATATTAATAATGCATACAAAAAATCATCGATGTTTTTAAACATCGCTCGTTTTGTAATATAATCACAATCAATTCTTTTGCAACAAAATTTAATTTGACAATGGCCCTCTTTCTTAATTTCTAAATAAGGTGGAACTGAAAACGAAGTTTAAAAATGTATAAGAAGTGTGCAAAATTAAGCCTGAGCTCCTGAGGTTATCTCACAGGGTCGGTTCTCATTTCATTGAAGAATGGTATTAGAAGAAAGGAACAGCTCTAAGCTGCCAGCTGATCTCCCGACATGTGTGGTAGTGTTGTGCTTGTAGGTGTGTATGGAAGGGAGGGGAAACGATAGCACAACGAAGAGGAAAAAACAAGTAAAGTGTTCATTAATCACCCGTGTTCAGAATAGTTAAAAAAAATTATCTAATTCAAGACTCGTAAATGTTTTGCATCTGTATAACATTTACGCGAAACTTTCTGTTACATTAATTCATCCAAAAATATAATTTCTTCTGTAAAAAACATAAATTTTGTCCTAAAGTAACAAAGGATTCTTGTGTCGGATATTTTATTATACGGTTTTATTACACTGTGATTACCTACCTTTGTGTTAGCTAAAAGAGATGGTCCGAATTTCATACTACGACTTCAAAAAGTGTTGTCATTAGGTTAGTATAATTATTTGTTGATATATCTGAAATGCGTTGATAAAATGCTAAGACAGCACAACTTGACGATATAAGAAATTAAATATCCCGGTTTGATGCATCTGCCTTGCGAGCAGACCAAAATAATCTGTTATGACTGATCATCCGTTGATTTCGCTTCCTGAAGTAAAATTCTTAAATATTTCCACGAAACACACATGGCGATCTCGCATATCGTAAAACTTGGGCGACGAAATGATAAACTGACGGAAATCGCCATAAACACAGGATGTCGAGAGCGCCTAAAAATATTTTATCTTTCATTTGGTGTTTCCTGTGGATGTGTTCATGTCAAATATGATTACGTAAATTCAAATAAAGTGAAACCAGTTTAATTTTATCTTATGATTGTGATCTAACAGTCTATTAACCATTGCCACCATATACCATGGATATTTTTTCTTATTTTTTCCAATATTTTCAAACGAACAAACTATGGTTCTTGAAATGTTATTGCATGGTGTATTATATATTTTTTATTCTATATTTTTTGTAAAATATAATTTTTTGCTTCGGGTATTGGCTATGTAATGATAATGATTTTTTCCTAACATATTTATTCTCTCTCCATGTTTTCTCTTTCTCCTCTTTGTTTGAACCTCTGCTTGGCACTCTTGTTTCTCCTCTTTGATTCTCCTTAAAATTTTTGTTTAGTCGCTCTCTTTCATCTTCTTTTCTTCTCTTCTGTCTCTCGATACACATCTCGCACTTCCCTCCTCTTTCCCTCTCGAACGCCATCCTTTTTGGGCCATAATTTATTTTCCTTTTAGTTTATCTCAGGCGCGGATCAACGGGGAAGAAATGCCTCCCTAACATTTTTCAGTAACGTAATTTTTACATGTCACGAAACTTTCGAGCAAAAATATTTTATGATAATCATTACAATGAATAAAATCGTATCGCAACCGGAACTGAGTGTACCCTGCGACATTTTATTAAATCTGTAACGTGACACATTCGACCAAAACATTTTGAATTTCCCCTTCCAAACTTTGTCTCTGGATCAATCCTTGTTATCTCTAGATATTTCATTTTCATTTTTCCATGATACTGGATTTCAGTTTAAACCCTTTTTTTGTCAACGTAATTTTATGATTTCTTCAAAAGACTTGTAAAATTAGACCGACAAACCCGCATCTGCGAAAATGTCCCCTTCAATTCTACAAATTATATGTTGTGCTTATATCTGCAATGTGTTTCATAGTGTTTCATAGGCCCGAATTCTTAATCTGCCGTATAGAAATGTACGTACAGAAATTTTAATACTTACGAAAAACGTTTTGTTTTGCCTTTTTATAACCTTAAATATCTCCAAATTTGGATATAGAAAAACATGTTTGGAAACAATTTTGTGGCACATTGTGTTTTTTTCAAATCTTGTAATAACGTTATTCAACATAATAAGCACAGAAACATTTTTCGTGACTTTTGACCTCTAATATTCTGGAATGCACTCGTGATATTCGTCCGAACTTTCCACCCCATTTATAACACGTCAATACAAAGGACCCGGCGAAAATTCATGTCAAAGGGATTATTTTCTGCAGGTGAAATCAATGTTGACTGGCCTACCAATCCTTATTATATTTTTTCTTAGCCTAAATATGTTTGTGCTTTTTATGGTTTGTTCTTTTGTGATTCGTGATTTTATGATTATTTCTATTGTTTTTCTTGTTTTTGTGAGTGTGCTATCAGGTTTAGTGATGTTGGGAAATGTACATTTGTGACGTGTGCTTCTTTGATGTGTGTCGTGCTCTTGTGATGCTCACTTTTGGGATGTGTGCTCCTGTGATGTGTGCTCTTGCGATGTGTGCCCTTGCGATGTGTGCTAGTGTGGTGCGTGCTCTTGTGATGAGTGCTCTTGTGATGAGTGCTCTTGTGATGAGTGCTCTTGCGATGTGTGCCCTTGCGATGTGTGCTCCTGCGATGTGTGCTCTTGCGATGTGTGCTCTTGTGATGTGTGCTCTTTCGATGTGTGTCCTTGCGGTGTGTGCTCGTGTGGCGCGTGCCCTTGCTGTGAGTGCTCTTGCGATGTGTGCTTGTGTGGTGCGTGCCCTTGCGCTGTGTGCTCGTGTGGTGCGTGCTCTTGCGCTGAGAGGGCGTGGTGGCGTTGCAGGCCGGGGACGAGTGCTGCGTGCACGCGCGCAGCGTGGAGTGCTCGTCGGCGTGCGTGGCCGTGTTCCGCGCGCTGCAGACGCCGTCGCGGGAGGCGCGCGCGCACGCCAGCCACGCGTGCGCGCAGGAGAACCCGCGCCTGCTCGCCTGCCTGCGCAACGCCACGCGCACCACGCCCGCCACCAACTCGCACAGGCGTAAGTACCTCCTGCGCCACCACGACCAACATCGTCACCACCTCCATCAACAGATACCACACTACACTTACCATCACTTCATATCCGCCTCCCAATCTCACTGGCGTACGTACCTCCTAAGTAAGACGGGTTCAAGCAGCTTTACACTGCGTTACATAGGGGAAGGGGCTGTTAGTTAACTGTTACGTAACGTTGATATTTTTTTTTAATTTATCAACATTGCTGCAACATGCTGAACTAATTTCTTTTATTCAGTCTTACAATGGACCATTACCGAATGAATAAGCTAAATTAAAAATATAAAAAAATTAAAGAATTTATATTGTACAAATTGAATGCGTAAAAACCAGAACGATGTGACATTTTATAAATTATGAGAAAAAAAGTGTTTATTTGAAGCTACATTTCAGTGGCAATGTGATTTCGTGGTTTCAATAAACAATTGAAACGCAATGGTTTTAATGATGGAACAACGCACCACGACTTTTCAGTGGTATTAAGTAGATTTTTTCAGATTTGATAAAATGTCACTTATATTGTTCTGGTTTTAACCCATTCAATTGTAGTAATTAATGAAAATATTTTACATCAATGATTTATTGATTGAATCTTTTATATTATGAAGAAATATTCAAAACTGATCTGCATTCTAGAATCTAATTAAGGTGGCGCTTAGACACAGTGCCTACTCGTATGCGTCATCCACGATGGCGTGTATAACAGAAATTTTCTCGCCTACGCGTGCTTCTTTCATTCAAAAATTGTCTCTAATCTTATTTACAAGTGCAGCCTCCACTACCAACCTACTCTCACTAATAATAAAAAGTAATAAATAAATAATTGCAAATAATTAAACTCGTTTCTGCTCTATAATTGATTTTTACTTATTGAAATAAGAGGGGCGGTCTTGTCGCAAGCGTTACGTAAGTATTAGAGGGGGATTCAAGTGCGAATTACAGGGGGAATCAATATACAACTCCAAATTTAGGTTACGTAATTTACGGACGGTCCATTTGTTTGCCGGTCTGTCATATTGTTTCTATGTAATTACATATCACCAACATCACACCCACGCTGATAATACATGGTTTGTTTGTCAGATCATACAAGTCCGTTTATTGCTCTGAAAGTCACGAGAGCGAAATCAAACCCCCCAAGAAGCCCTCAGGGAAATACATAACCCACCTCTCCTTCGCTGAGTCGAGTGAGAAGTTCGCCTTATCGGAAGACTATTTCTTCCGAGCGCCGTTCGCCTCTTGAGGAACGACGCCCTCGTCTCCGCGCGCTCTCTTATCAGGAAGCTGCGCAGGGGATAGAAGCCAAGCGCGTGCGGCGTTGCGATATGGGAAATCAGACGCTTACGACGTCGCCCCCTCTTTGCGTACAAAAGACGTTCCGCGGCAGAACTTCGGAAAGGAGTCACTTTGGCTGCAAAGCGCGAGCACTCGCGTTCGATACAGTGGATATGGTTATGGATGCACTTAAGCGCCATCGTCGCTTCCTGCTGCTTTTTACAAGCAAAAGAGCCGTTCACGTTTTTTGTGGATAGTGTCTCTATTTTTTTAACGTGTGGGTTAGTAAAGAAGAGTTCGTTGTCAGCGGTATTTCAAATCAATTCTATATTTATATTCTAGATAGAATATATAAAGCAAGCAATAGTCAAAACAAAGCTACATTTTAAAGAACATTTTATTCTTTAATCTCGTAACTCCGTAATACATAGGTCCCATTTGTATATTTATTATAATCTATTTATACAAAAAAATAGTGTATTCATTATTCCTCTTTGAATATTTTCCAAATATACTCGTATATGTTCTAATGATGAGGATCAACAGGCTTAATAATTAATATTTAATTATTCGAAAGAGCTACACTACGCAGTGTACACGAATGGGTAATTATGTCTTAGAAATGTGAGTGAGAACAGAATATAACAACATACTTAGGATATATACAATGTTTTGTATCACTTGAATTCTGAAAAACAAAACACGAGTGATTCAAAATCTTTATCTTGAATCTGAAATTTGAACTTGCATCCTGAAAAATTAATTTGAAACCTGAAAAATTAACTTGAAACCTTGAAAAAATTAACGTTGGACCTGAAAAATTAACTTGAAAACGCTGAAAAATTAACTGGAACCTGAAAAATTAACTGTGATAATGAACCTGAAAAATAAGTTTACTGAAACCCAACTTCGAAACCTGAAATATTAACTTGAAACGCTGAAAATTAACTTGAAACCTGAAAAAATTAACTTGAAACCTGAAAAATTAACTTGATACCTGAAACACTAAATTTAACTCCTAAAAGGTGGACATGGATCTCGAAAGCGGGCTGCCGAGAGGTGTGCCCGTTTTAGAATCCTGTGTTCTTTGAGCGGCGAGTAGTGTGTGAGGTGTGGCGGTGTGCTTGCAGAGCTGCACTGCTGCGACAAGTCGGACGTGCCGGGGTGTCGCGAGGCGTGCCGCCGCGTGCTGCGCACCGCCACCGTCAGCCAGGAGATCGTCGACACGCTGGAGCACGCCGGTTGCGGGCCCCCGCTGCCACACGTGAGTACGCGCACGCCGCCCGCTTCAAACTCAATTCAAATTCAGTGATGCCTTAATTTACTCAAGCCATCGGGCCTACTCTTCCGCCAGACCACGCAAATTTCGCTTCTATCCTTTCACGATCTAGCGGAGAAAGGTGGTATCACTTAAGCGATGAATCAGGCTCCTTTTAAGCTTGAGGATCTTTTACATAAAGCCTATTTTACGTGGCAAGACTCAGGCCATTAGGCCTGCTCTTTCGTCTGACCACGCACATTTTCACCATCAAGCGGAGAGAGACCTTAACACATCTGTTTTTAGGTACGAGGATCTTTTACATGTAGTAAATCTACAACATATGTCAGTCGAGTTTACTTCCCCTCCGAAGAAAGGCGTACGAAGATTTTTTCACCCTTATAAATCCACGGCTTTGATCGTGTTTCAACCCGCAAACTTGGGTATATCGCTAACCGTTATACCAATTAAGCAACGTCGCTGCTTCACCTTGAAGCACTAGCTCCAACCTCCCCCCTCCGGAGAGTCTACTTTTTACTTTCTCGCCTTAATACGTTTACGAAGTAAAGTAAAAGGATTGTTATATTGCGGCCTAAATCGGCGATTTTTCGACAGAAAAACTTGAATTGTCGGATCCTCGTCCTCAATACTCCTGAAATTGTTAAGGGTGTCACAACTGCAGGGTTAATTTATCCACACAATCTTTTGGCGTCTATCTACAAAATGCTTTCTTTATTGTACAAATATTTCATAACCTACCGGCTGTTTATAGAAAACCTATGGCGATTCATGAATGGCTCAACAATTGTTAGCAATGGATGTACGTGTGTATGTTCCACAATAACTTTTGAACCAATTGCACTCAAATGATTCATGAATTTTTGGGATGTCGAGAAAGGCATTGGAAGGAACGCCAAAACGTTGCCTTAAATGTGGTTGTATAACAAATTATTGTAGAAATGATGTAATCAGAAATGCATCTACGATTCATTGGCGATACATTGTTGACATTGTTTAATGTTAATAATAAAATGAATATTACAAAAAGATATTTGAAATTCCATTTTCAACCATCTCCATTTTTGATTTGTTTTGGGGGTCCTCGTTCCCCCAAAATTTACATGTATCAAGACCCAGAGTCGTTGCTACCCTAAGACAAGCCTTCGGATTCTCCTGCAGGGTGAAATGCAACGTCATGAGAACAGCTCCCCCACCCGTGCCCCTTCCTCCTCGGGGGGAGCGGTGAAGTCGCGCCTGACTTCGCTCCTTAACAAGGAGAACCCTCCCCGAGGAGCAGCCGCAAACGCTGACCTTGTGGAACACCTCGCTGAGCTCTTCGCAAACCAACCGCCAGGGAGAACCATGTGCTCCCACGTTAATTACAAGTGAAACCCCGTCAATCGGAATCAGATGCGTACCTACGGTGGCACGTGCCATAGGCGCCATTCACTGGGGCGCTAATTTAGCGAGTATCCGCTAAAACAAATAACAACAACCCTCATTTGAAAGATCCTGTTGGGAGCGCAAATTCTATGCTCTCCATGGGCGCCTGAAAGCCAAGATATACCTCTGATCAAAATAGATCTTTCCTTCCGTATATTGAAAACCATGTTCTTTATTATGACGCCAGTGCATGCCTGCACTGTATGATTTGACGGGTTTATGAAGAAATGATATGATGATACAGCATCAGAGAAAATATGCTACATTAGGTGCGATAACTCGCTAATCGATACTTTCTTTCTCGTCCACGAATCGAAACGTCTTTGGCGAAATGCCATCCGTGGTGACAGCACGAGGGGGTGGGATGCTGGATGAAGTAATTGGACCACAACTGAAGATTCGTCAGCTGGAAGGTCCTAGCTTCAAGTCTCATAAACACACGTAAATTAAGAAGATAGGAAATATATAAAATTAAAGAGCAGGGAAAACAATTGGGGAAAAGAAAGGATGAGTCAGAGGAGAATGGAAAATAAGTCGGACAGTAAGTGAGAGAAGAGGAAGAAAATAATGGAGAGATCATGAGATTAAGTAAAAAAGAAAATGATGGAGAGAGAGAAAAGAAAAATGTGTTCAGAAAAAGAAGTCAGTTTCAGATAGGAGAGATGAAAAGAAAAGAGAAAAACGGGCCAGAGCTGAAGGATGGGAAAGAATGGAGCTAAAATAAAATACGAAGAGAGAAAAAGAGAGGTAGGATATGTTATAAAATGAACTAATCCAAAGATAGTGTAATGTCTAAAAGAATGAAATATGGAAAGAAATGTGAAAGAGACAGCGTAAAAGACAAAAATGAACCCAAAAGATTTACTAAAGGAAAGAAACAAAAGCGGACTTCACGGAGAAGAACGGAGTACAGGAAAAGAAATGATAGTCAGGAAAGAGAAATGATGAAAAAGTAAGACAGAAGAAAACTGGAGGAGAACGAAAATAAACACAGAAGTAATAATAAAAAATGAATCGTTCTCATCCTTTCATCCTTCCTCCCTGTCTCCTTCCTCCTTTCCTTATTTACCCTTTTCGTTTTCTTCCACCTTTCCTCACTCTCCCCATCCATTCTTTTTTGCCTACCACTCTCTCTCTTTCTTTCACAGTCCCTCCCTTCATCCCTCCATCCCTTTATCACTTCTCCCTTGCTCTCTCCTCCCTCTCTTGACTCTCTTCCAACATTACTTTTTTACTTCCTCGCTCTCCCCGTCACATCCTTCCACATTTTCTCCCTCCACGTTTCTTTCCGTACTCTTTTCCTTTTCTCCCACCATTCCTAATTCTCTCCCACTATTTGTCCTTGCCTGCCTTTCTCTCTCTTCCACCCTTCTACACATCCTCCTGCCTCCTCACCTCTCTTTTCTCTCCTTTTCCTCCTTCCCTTCCACCCTGCCGCCCACCATTTCTTTCTTCCTCCTACAATCTCCCCTTCTTCCCATCCTTCCACCCTTTCTCCCTGTCCCCTTCTCCTCTCCTCGCATTCTGCCATCCCCCACCCTTCTCCCTCCGCCACCTCCGCAAGGAAGTGACGCGCCGCGGAAAGCAGCTGAATGCGCGGCGGTGCGCCTCGCTCCTTCAGCCGCCTCCTCGCGCGTGTTTGCCTATCCGGCGCCGCGCAGCGCCGGCCGCCCCCTAATTAATCCTAATTTACGAGCGCGCGCGCGCGGGCGGGCGCCGGCCCAGGCCTACCAATTACGCGGCGCGGGCGACTGCGCGCGCGCGCGATTCGTATGTCTTGCTTAGCCCGAACCGAAGGCCCCCGGCAAAATGGGAAACAATTGCACGACGGAGCAGATAATTGCGCGCGCGGGTTGCTAGATAAGCCTGATGGGTGCGCGCGTAATTCCGGACGAGAGCTGAATGTGTTGGTCGCTTAATCATCTGATTATTGCACCCGTTGTAATGATCAAATCGGGCGCCGAGGAAGGCAAATATACGGGATGAAAAATCTGTTTCCCTGTTCGTGGGAAATGTGACTTGTTTATCCTAATAATACTCGTACTATGTTACATAAATAATAAGTGTAAGAAATAGTTACGATATTAATTATTAAGCGGTGTGTATGATCGTTTGATTTTCCCTTAGTTAATACCTATGTCGGTTTGTATTGTAATAATGTTACATTTACGAATAGAAATCCAGGCATTCAAAAGCAATGTTATTCAATATTTGCATATTTATGGCACCTGTTGCGATAATTCTGTGTAATACAAAAACCATTAGATAGTTTTTAATAAGGTGGCCTTGCTAATAAGAGCCAACTTTCGCTGCAAATGGAGTTGGAACGTAATCAAATGTTTATCATTCTGTGGTGAGTAAAGTTTTCTCTACCCAGAACCGCTTATTCTACTTCAACACATCAATTTTAAAAGTATACTCTTTTGTTGTCAGTCACCTTATAAGATTCCCTTGGTTAATATTACGCTTGAATCAAACCAATAATTTTTATTCTTTCGTGATTAATGCTTCAGTCTTTAATGTAGAGTTAAGAATAAACATGTTTATTTGACATCAGTTTTAAACTGTATCGTACGTACATTTTTCATCAGAATGGGTTGAATAACCCTCATGGGTCAGTCCAGGTCACCAAATAAGAACATCATCTGCAAACAGATTTTCTTTGTTCTTTTTCAATAGCACTTCTTTTGGTTTTTCCATTTGTAGTTTTTCGTTTGAAGTGTTTATCTGAGCCCGTGACGAGAGAATGGCGATGTGTGTTGCGTGCCAGTGTGCTAAGCGGTGGCAAAGACGAGTGGACATGTGTGCTACGGGTTGCCGTGTACCCCTTGCTGTCTGCACAACCCGCAGTGCTTCCTGAGCGCATGACGAGAGAGTGACGATGTGTGCCTGTGTGCTGTGCATTTGTCCTGACGAGTGTGCTTTTGGAGACGGCGCTGTGGTAGCGTTTTCATAGCCCATGACTATGTGTGCCTGTGTGCTGTGCAGTGGTCGTGACGAGTGTGCGTGTCTGTTTCGCAGACGGCGCTGTGGCAGTGCTTCCTGCAGACGCCGGCGGGCGCGGGGCAGGGCCCGTCGCGCATCGACCGCGTGGGCATGGACGCCGCCAAGCTGCACTGCTGCGCCAAGGCGTCGCGCGACGCGTGCCGTCGGCCTGTGCGTGCGCACCTTCTCCAACGAGTGGACGCGCGCCTGGGACGACTTCCACCGGCTCCTGCTCGCGCACCTCTCCGAGGACGCGCTCGCGCACTGCCTCGAGGAAGGTGAGGCCTCGCCTGCTCTCGGAGCTAACTGTCCCTCGCGCACTGCCTCGAGAAAGTGCAGGCCCTCGCCTGCTCTCGGAGCTAACTTTCCCTCGCGCACTGCCTCGAGGAAGGTGAGGCCCTCGCCTGCTCTCTAAGCTAACTTCCCTCGCGCACCTCGAGGAAGGTTGAGCCCTCGCCTGCTCTCTAAGCTAACTTTTCCCTCGCGCACTGCCTCGAGGAAGTGGAGGCCTCTCGCCTGCTCTCTAAGCTAACTTTCCCTCGCGCACTGCCTCGAGGAAGGTGAGGCCCTCGCGTGCTGCCTGAGACAATTCCCCCTCGCGCTCTGCCTCGAGAAAAGTGAGGCCCTCGCGTGCTGCCTGAGACAAATCCCCCTCGCGCACTGCCTCGAGGAAGGTATCTGACGTTGCCCAGGCGTGATTTCTAGGAAAAAAACATTTCTTGCAAACCTTTAGCGCGCTTGCTCGAACTGTGCTGCGACCTGGTAGCGACGCTGATGAATACTGTACATTAAATACAAAATATTACTTGTCATTTTTATACTTTGTCATGTCTCTGCAATGTCGGAGATAAACAAACGAAAATGTCCAAGGCGCCATTCTTGACAATTAACGAGCCTGCCCCGAATTTGTGTCAAGGAGTGCTTACAATTGTGTGTCGCAGGTTAGGCGCCAAATTTAAATAAAATGTGAATGTAGTGTGGTAACATCTGTTGTGTCCACTCGTGCAGTGGAGGAGCCGTGCGAGCTGGGGTGCGACGGCCTCAACTACTGCACCAACTTCAACAACCGTCCCACGGAGCTGTTCCGGTCGTGCGGGCGCGCGGCGGACGACGCGGCGCGGCTCGACGTGGCCACGTGGACGCGCAACGGGGAGCTGTCGCTGCCGGCGGCGGGCGGCGCGCGTGGGCGCGCGGCGCGCGGCGGGCTGCGCCGCCGCTGCGCAACCTCTCCGCCTGCTCGCCCCGCCGCTGGCGGCGCCGTCGCCTGCGCGCTGCAGCTGCGCCCCTGCCCACCGCACACGCACACCAACCGCATCTGCAGAGTGAGGGAACAGATGACTTTCTGCATGCACACCGACCGCATCTGTAGGTGAGGGAACAGATGACTTTCTGCATGCCACACGACCGCATCTGCAGGTGAGGGAACAGATGACTTTCTGGCATGCACACCGACTGCATCTGTAGGTGAGGGAACAGATGACTTTCTGCATGCACACCAAACCGCATCTGCAGGTAAGATAGCGGATGAGAGGTTTTTTATGCAAGCACACCAACCGCATCTGTAGTGATGGAACAGATGACTTTCTTTGCGTACACACCAACAGCATATGCAGGTGAGACAGCGATGACTTTCTGCTAGCACACGAACCGCATCTGCTGCTGAGTAAAGTGATGAATTTTCTTTCACCAAACACACAGGTGACCTAGATGTGGGCATCAATTAATGTCACTGCAAACACTCCTAGAGTTAGAATCTAGCAGGTGGCTAGAGAGCTGGGCCGAGTACAGCCGCTGTCTGCAATTCTGCTGCCGGCTCCTCTGTAGGGTAGGTTTCCGTGTTTTCTCCGATCAACCCCATGCGAATGCCGGAACAATAACCTACGGTTCATGGATAGCATCCTTGAACTTCCTCGAACTTCGTATCCTTGTCCTACCATCACCCCTCACAAACACGCACTAACACTTATATTCACTTCACTACACCATCGCACTCGTCACCAAATCAGTCGGGAGCTTAGAACTTGTCCTGACTGGGGGCAGTGCCGCACTGGGGGAAATACTTGGTTGAGGAGAAACCCGCAAGCCGACGTGCAGACCGGCACCGGATCTCGCCATCCAGTGGGAGAAGATCCCCGCCACCTCTCACGATGAAACATGCACTACACTTATGGGAATAACGACCTTAGTTGTGTTAAATCAATTAATGATTTAATCAATCATTTCACCAAGCTTACAAACCTCACCTTGCATGTGTGAGAGAGAGTAAACTACAACCTGCCGAGCCAGTCAGCAAGCGAGCGTGCGGGGGGCGTGTTGCAGGGACGACTGCTACGAGCTGCTGAGCCAGTGCGTGGACTGGGGGCGTGCGCGGGCGATGCCGGGCAGCGGGGGCCTGTCGGCGGCCGCCGTGTGCGCGCAGCTGTCGCCCGACAACCCGTCCACGCCCTGCGTCGCCCTGCAGCCCTACCTGGCGCCCAGCGACCGGCGCTACTGGCCGCCGCAGGACGCGCTGCTGGCGCCGTGCCGCGGCGAGCCGTGCAACGGGTCGCAGGCCTGCCTCGTCAACCGCAACTGCGCGCCCGGCCGGCCCTGCCTGCCCTACGCCTGCGCGCCGGGTGGGTGCTCCGGCCAGCCTTGCTTTGCTCGTGTAGCGCGCCCCCTATACACCTATATATTCAGTTGTGCTTTGTGGTGGGTGATCTGGATGTGTGCTGGGCGCCATTGCGTGCTGTGTTATTTGGGAGCTCAGAACTCTTGTGTTCTGGGTGCTGTCGTATGTTGGGCGCCCATGTGTGCTGACTGCTCTTGTAACGACGAACACTCTTGTGCGTTAAGTGGTCTTGACCCTATGTACTTGAGGTGCGCTTTTGTAATGTTTGCATTGGATGTCGTGAATTGTGTGTTTGGTGCTCTTGTGTGCTGAGCAGACTTGTGCGATGAGTACTCGAGTGCTGAGTACACTTGTGTGCTGATTCCTCTTGTATGTTGGACGGTCTTGTGTACTGGGCATCATCTTGTGCTGCGTGCTCTTGTAATGACTAGTATCTTGAGAGCTCTTGAGTCCTATTCACTTGAGATGCAGTTTCGTGACGTGTGCATTGTATGCCGTGCATTTTCTTTTGCGCTGCGTTGACTTGAGGTGCGAGCGCATCTGTGCTGAGTGCTGGGGTACTGACGCGAGGCGCGGTGGGCGTTGCGCAGGGTGCCGGCTGGGCGAGGTGTCGCAGTACGTGGTGCCGCAGGGCACGTACGTGCGCCTGCTGCAGGGCTCGGGGGCCAAGGACTGCCCCAAGGTGTGCCAGTGCGGCGCCAGCGGCGGCCTCGAGCGCTGCCAGCCGCTCTCCTGCGTCTACTACGACCCCTGCCTGCTGTCCGATCACCAGAAGATAGGTGAGCACCTTGTCCCTCTCTCTCCCTCCGCTCTCCTGCGTCTACTACGACCCTTGCCTGCTGTCCGACCACCAGAAGATAGGTGAGCACCTTGTCCCTCTCTTTGTAACTCATCGTCGACCTATAAAGTTGTGAAAATAGAAACTCGATATGCCTAAGAGGGAAAGAGGGACTGAGAAATTTAATAGTAAAATATATAGTTCCGATATTGCCTTCCGTCACTGTGGAGCGGCACTGTCGCGGATTTTCCAGTAGTTCTCGTAACAAAGTTCCATATCTTGTATGGCATTGAACACGGAAATGATCTTCAAGATAATCTTCTCCCCCTACGGCACATACAGTTTTCACATACTGGTTTTTACTGAATAAATCTCATCTAATCTAAACGTGAAGTTTAATGGTGTTTAACATTATTATTTTATTGTACTTTTATGAAATGTTTAATAAATCACAGTAAATTCCTTTCATTGTATTTTACAGTATATTGCTGTTTAAAAAATATTATCTTACGCCCTGCTACTGGCGTTTAGAGAATCTATTAGGTACCAGTTCTGCCGCACCCTTACTGGCCTCTGGCGGAATATATTACTAACCAATCTGCTCTTCGCGGCAGACGAAAAATAATGACTGTGGTGCATCTACCAACATTTAATAAACTTATAAATTAATATAATAACTATTTAAATTACTAATAAAAATATTAAATTTATGCTATATATCTTTACCAAACTTTGCAAGGACACTGCAACAAACCTGAAGAAGAGCCTGTAACAATTTTTTAATATTCAAACATAACTTTTAGTGGTATCGATGTTGACTCCATGTTGAATTCACTTTTTTTTATTATAATTTCGGTTGTTATCAACTTTGCTATTGCATTTGTTTAGACGCGTCCGATATTTTCTTTTACACGTTTGGAAAATAATACAATGAGGTGGTTTTGTCTGATAGGCAACGCGTTATTTCCTCCTTTGAATCGTGCCCTGGTGCTTGTGCTGCAGCGCACAACGCGTGGTTCTACCTGGGCTGCAACATCTGCACATGCTACTCGGGTGAGGTAACGTGCAGCAAGCGGCAGTGCGAGGAGGGCGCGGAGGCGGCGCTCGAGGGCCAGGAGGTGGCGTTCGCGTCCCTGCCCTGCCGCTGCCCGCCCCACCACGTGCCCGTGTGCGGCCGCAACGGCAACACCTACCCCAGCTCCTGCCTCGCCAGGTGAGCCACACCGCACCGCACCAAGGAATGCCCCTCTCCCCAAAAACCGATGTTTCCAACCAGAAACATGGATACATTAACATTGATGTTTTGTTTTCGATGGGTTTTCTTCAAATTGATATATTTTTCAAAAAACATTTGTTTACAAAACATATGTTTTTTTATGATTTTGTGCGTGGTAATGGTAATATCCTATAAGTGGTTCAACCTTGTCTATGTAGAAAATGTATTAGAAAATTCAGATGACAGAGTGCTTTAAGGCAGAATATACTTCAAACTAATATTTATACATGACCAAACCAATGAAATATACATACTGAATTTTCATTGAAGTATGGTACTCTAATTAAAACTTTATTAGGATGAAGAAATGCTATTAGTTTTATTTCATTTAAAACATCCATGTTTTCGTGGATGTTTTCATCGACATGAGAAACCTTTTGGTGATGTCGATGTCGATGGTGATATCAAAATATCGATGTTTTGGGGAAAAACTACCTTCACTAACAACACCATTTTTAGACACAACGAAAACAGTATCTCTAACACTTGATCACACAACCTGATCCACAGGCCACTGCCACCATCACAATGATATAGCTCAGGGTCCATAGCAGTTGCCACTGGGGTCTCTGACTGCAGTGTGGACGAAGGTGGAGTTTGGACTAAATAGCCAGGTCAAATTCAGGCTCTTGTCAGAGGAGGATTTTAGTTGCAGGGTGATCTCTGATCGATACTCTTCCGTAGTTTCTCCTCTCAGTGCCAGGCAAATGCCGGAGCGCTATTGTAACACTTCGCCCACCGACCTCATTCCATCTTTTCTCCTTCATCCTTGTCCTCACATCTCCTCTTGCATACAGGTACTTACACTAATATGCACTACATTACCATGCACCGGGAGATAACAGCTTGCTTCGACGGGCCGGGGCCCTGCCGACGGAGATACGCAGAAGGGAAACAGCTGCAAACGGACGTTTAGGTCCGCGCTGATTCTCGTACTGCTGCAAGGTAGGAAAGCCGCCATCTCCCGAGTTGTAACATGCATTACACTGGCGGACTAATGACCATTCCAGTTGTCGTAGCTCGAAAACAAACAAACAAACAAATAAATCAATCAACAACTACCACCCCCACAGTCCGATCTGTGTGCTTGGGAAGGTGGGCGCGTGCTCTACGTTGCATCGTGTGCATGGTGTGAGGATGGTGCACGCTGTACGATTGTGTGTGTGCTCTGTGCGGTTGATGGTGCATGGGTGTGTTTGTAGAGGTCGGTTGGTTGATTGATTGGTGATTCCGGGCGTGTCAACGGCAAATACCAATAGTCCTGCAAGTGTAGTGTAAGTTTTTATCGCGAGAGATGGCGAGATCCGAGTCGAACTACCCGTCGTCCGGCGGGTTTTCCCCAACAAGGTATTTCCACCAATTTAGCTCCACCCCAGCCAGGTCAAGTCCTAAGCTCTCTACCGGGCTCCCGGCATATAGTATAGAGCGTGAAAACGTAAGTGTATGTAAGCAAAGGTGAGAGTAGGCCAAGGAAGGGGAAGGAAAGATCGCTTGTGGTCCTTTTGCATACCAGTACTTCTTTGGCATTCGCCTGGTGCTGATCGTAGAAACCACGAAACACTACCGATCAGAGCAGCCGGCCGCTAGAATTCTCCTCCAGACAGCGGCTGATTTCGACCCAACTATACAGCTAGTGTCGAAAACCCTGCCACCGTCGGGGCCCGAACCCTGGGACGTCCGGGTCAGTGGCACTGCAGCGAGGAGAAGTCGGTGCGTGCTATATAATTGCGTGTGTGTGTAGGTGCGCGGGTCTGACGGACGTGGACTTCGAGTTCGGGCCGTGCTCCAGCCGCGACCCGTGCGCCCAGGTGCAGTGCCCGCAGGGCCAGCGCTGCGTGCCCGCGCGCAAGACCTGCCTCTCGCTGCAGTACCGCTCCTGCCCGCAGCACCAGTGCGGTACGTTCACGCCCTCTCTCCCTCTCTCTCTCTCACTCACTCTCTCTCTTTCTCTCACTCTCTCTTTCTCTCTCTCCCACTCTCTCTCTCCCACTCCCTGTTTCTCTCTCTCACACTCTCTCTTTCTTTCTCTTTTTCTCTCTATTTCTTTCTCTGTTTCTTTCCCTTTCTCTCTCTCTATTTATGTCTCTTTCTGTCTCTCCCTTTAACCCCCTATCTCTCCTTTCACTTACTCTCTCTATCTCTAATCCTCTGTTCTTGTTCCCTTTCTTTCATTCCTCTTTCCCACTCTTTGCCCGTTACTTTACCCCCACACTTTCTATCTCCCTCTCTAAACTACATATATCTCTCCCTTCTTCTCCATCTTTCCCTCTCTTCACCTCTCCGACTCTCTCCTTGACTCCACTTTGCCCCTGAATCCTCTCCCTCTAACTTCCTCTTTCTCTCTTCCTTCGTCTCTCTATTCCTTTTCTCTCCTCCCTTCCCATTCTGCCTCACACTCTTTACCCCTCTGTAACTCTCACTTGCTAGTTCACCCTTTATCTTCCTTCCCTCTCTATACAATTGTCTTTGTGTCACTTTCGCTTTCTGCTCCCTTTTACCTCATTCTGCTTTAATCTTCTCTATCTCTATTCCTGTGTACTTTCCCTTCTCTTTTTCTATCTCCCTATCTACCTCTTTCTCTCTTTCAGCGTCTCATATCCATCGCTCTGTGTGTGTGTGTGTGTGTGTGTGTGTGTGTGTGTCTTCGTTTTTCTTCAACTTTGTTTTCCAACAAATACATAATTACTAAGTACAAACGTCTGATAACGCCTCGTCGGTTTGCATCAGCTGCTGTTGCTAGCTAATCAGCTCAGTTGCTTCAGCCCAAGCTGCAGTTGCGCGCGCAGTCCTAGTAACGCGTGTCGTCCTTTGTTGGCAGTGGACGTGTCCAGCCCGTGTAGCTCGCAGGCGCACGACCCCGTGTGCGACTCGGACGGCGAGGAGCACCCCAACCTGTGCTACCTGCTCCGGAAGGGCAAGGCGCTCGCCTACAGAGGGCCCTGCTTGGTAAGCAGAGGGCGATGCGAGCAGGCGGACGCGCGCGGGCTGTATTGTGCACGCTGCACAGAAGGGTTGGAGGTGCGGGGGAGGGGCGCTCTGTGTATAGATGAATTCTATGTGTTGATGTATTCGTGGGCTTAAAGCAATTTGTGCTGTGTGCGCTTGTACGTGCTGTTGCGGATGCGAGTACGCGTCGTGAGCGTGTGAGTGCTGGACGTGTCTGTGTGCTGTATGTGCGTACGTGCGCTTGTCTGGCCTTGAGCCGACGTATGCAGTGTGGTGTGCAAGAGTGGTGCAGCGCGCGGGCGTGACGTGCTGTGTGTGCGAATGTGTGCTGTGTGAGCGTATGTGTGCTGTGTCTTGTGCGTATGTACATATGTGTGCTGTGTCTTGTGCGTATGTGCATGTCCTAGTGCGCGGCGTGGACGTATGATGGGGCGTATGAGTGCTGTGTGTGCCTGTGTGCTGTGAGTGCTTATGTGCTGTATGGTGTGCGCAGGAGGGGTGCGAGCGCGCGGGCGTGGTGTGCGGCGCGGACGGCAACTCGTACGCGTCCGAGTGCGCGGCGTGGGCGGCGCGCGCGCCCGTGGACTACGCCGGCGCGTGTGTGGCCGTGGGCTTCGTGAGCGACGCGGCGCTGCCGCAGTGCGCGGCCGCGGGCTGCGCTGCCGCCGCCTGCCCCACCGACGCCGCGCCCCCGGTCGCGCGGCGCGGGCGCGGGCGACGGCGCGGGCGAGGCGAGGCGCCCTGCGAGGGGCTGACGCCGCCGGCGCCTTGCTGCCCGTCTGCGCCGGCGCCATCCGCCTGCTCTCAGCCTACACAGCAGGTGAGCACCAAATGGGCACTTATCGACAATGCGTTATTATTGATATATAGTGGGGTGCGAACAAGAGGAGTGCGAATGTACAGAGCATAACAGGATGGGGAGAGTGGCGGCGGGCACTAGGAAGGGCGGAACCATGGTTATGGAAACGAAACTGGCCAGATAGAGGTCTTCCTACCACTACAGCTACAAGCTCTAGGCAGCTATATGCATTCCCTTAATAGACTTATATCGTCAGTAAGCTAAAAAGGCTACATATGAATATATATATATACTATATATATAATATATATATATATATATATATATATATATATATATAATATAATATTATATTGAGGGACCGTGGCGGTGTGGAAGCCAAACTATGGTATGGTCCGGCTGCTTTATAGCTACAAACAGGTGGGAAATGAGAAGAAAGCAAATATGACATTACGAACCGTATATCAATGTTAAATATTATTAAAATTATTTCTATATATCAATAAATTTTGAAATAATATTTTTGTATTAAACAAAATTCCTTTTCACCTCTTGTGTGTAAAGTTTTTCCGTACCAAAAGCGAATGTAAGAGACATATTTCCGTGTTTATAACTAATGTGTTCACTCATTGTTCATTATTGCATTATGTTTTAATATGTTCTCTCTGAATACTCATTGTTTCCACGTTTAGATTGGAAAGAACACAAGGCCAATATTTAAAAAAATAAACGGGTGCCTTAGGATTTTAGTAAATTGTGTGGATAATATACAAGTGTTTCGTAAAATGCGAAACAGAATTTTAAACAAAACTTTCAATTTAAATATTTTTTGTTTCTCCCATAAAATTGTCTTATGGCCTTGCTAAAATAATGGATTGAATTGGGTGTGCGCGTAATACGCCCTTGCGGTGCACCAAGAGATGATTCGCGCGTGTTTGTGCGCAGGTGGACCGCATCCTGTACTCGCTCAAGGGCGGAGGGATGAGCGCGCTCACGGTGCACGCGGTGCTGGCAGCGCTGGAGCGGCAGGTGCAGGTGAGTCACCCGCAACCTCCTCCTGGCTTCACCGCACCTCATTGCTCGTGCAATCCAATTCCCTTTACCCCCTCATGGCCCCCGATATATCAAAGCCCCTTTTACCGGCTTAGGTGGCTCGGAGAATCAATTGATGGCTGCAGTACCTATGACCGGAAGGCCCTAGTGTTCGAGTTCTGTCGGTTGCATTTGCTTGTCAGCTAGGTCGAGTTTAGCTGCTGTCTGGAGGAGAATTCTTGCGACCAGCTGCTCTGATCGTCAAGTTTCCTTGCCGCACCCTGACAAACGGGTCACGGTCCGCGCGCGATCTTTCCTTCCTCTTCCTTGTCCTATTCTCACCCCTCACTTACACACTTGCACCACACTACCACATATATCGGGAGACCAATCAGAAACTTAGAGCTTGTCCCGGCTGGAGGTGACCCTCTGATGGGAAATACTTGGTTGGGGAAAACCCCATCAACTGACTGTAGGTCGGCGCTATATCTCGCCATCCAGCGGGGGAAGATCACCGCCACCTCCCGCTGTAAAACATGCAGTACTCTTACGGGATTAATGATCTTAGTAATTGACGCGTCCGGATACTAATCAATCGAATACTTCACCTCGCTTCACGTTACGTCACTTCACCGTACGCCACCTCATCTCATTTCACCACATCTAGTAACCTAACCTCATCTAACATCACATCTCACCTTACGTTACGACACCTGACCTCGCGCCACCTCACTATATTGCCTCGTGGTACCTAATGCCTCCTCAGGGCCTGTCACTTTACGCTTCATGGCCCCCGATACCTCAATGCGCCTTTGCCCCCCCCCCTTCCCTCCTCAAGGCCGTGTGCCCTCACAAGTGACAGCGTGTGCCCGGCGCGTGCGTGCGCAGGTGGCGGAGTGCTCGGTGCGCGGCTACATGACGGTGGAGCTGGACCTGATCGCGCTGGTGGTGCCGGCGGGCCGCGGCGGCCGCCCGGCTTCCCCGCTGCAGCGCGAGGCGTGCGCCCGCGAGGCCGAGAAGTTGGCCAGCCTGGTGCAGCGCACCAGCCCGCGCGTGCTCAGCGAGCTCAGCCTCAGCGTGCTCACCACGGCCAGCGTGGCGCACGCGCCCGTCACCGCCGACGCCCCTGCGCTGCTCCGTCCCACGCTCGCGCTCGCCGCCATCTTGTTCACGACGGCGAGGGCGTTAGCGTAGCGCAGTGCGGCGGAACGGTGCGGCAACTAGTGGAACAAGATGTCTGACGTCGAGATGTTGGCGCGGCTGGAGGGCGATAGGTAAACTAAGGATACATGTGGCTGAGCATGTCTCGTAATGATCATCGCCTTGTCATGTACTGGTGGATCGAGATGGCTGACGTCCAGACGGTGAAGCTGAAAGGTGCAATAGCGGTTAAAAATATACGAGCCTCGGTATCACGCCTCTTTATCACAACCCTCGGCGGGATCACATCTACCTTTGCAAGATTTTACGCTGGTTTTATTTTCATTTGTTCTTTTTCCGTTTTCTTTTGAGGGGCCCCGTGGCTGCCACCACCCGACAGCGTTTTCTTTTGTTCACGACGATTTTGTGTCCTGGTCGTTGGCGTACCACACTGGCGGTACGGAACAAACTCGAGAACTACTTGACAAGGTGGCTGACATCGTGACACTGGCACGGCTGGAGGGAGAAAGAACTAAAAATACATGACGCTGAGAATCAGGCCTGGGATCCGCCTAGTCGAAACCTTCAATTGATTGCTGCAATAGCTTTTTTCTTCTTTTAAATATTTATTTCGAGTGTTAAGCTTCAAGAGCGCTCCTCCTCTATTGACACTACTTCATCGAATTCCAGATGGCCGCTACAGAGCGACATGACTTCACGCCCAACAGCTGCGCCCTGAAAAATTTCTGACGAATGAGGGCAACGCCACTCAGCTTGGTAATTCCTGACGATTGCTTTCCGAAAGTCTGTTTCAAAAGTTTTGTTGGCGAACGCGACAGTGCTGTATCTGTGTGAAGATGGGATTGTTTTGGGGGAAATGTATGGGAAAATAGAAAAAAAGGCAAATGGCGCAGATCAACATTCGCTATGCACTGTGGTCTCACGAAAATCTCCAACAGCATTTCTCTGTAGTATTTTGGTTCAACATTGTGCTTCTGGAATATTTTAATATTTCCGAATAATATACGTATATTTTGGGTTTCTTATGCATGAATACGTACTCGAAGAACTAAATATTTAGTGCAGACAACAGAAAACACGGGTCTCTGTCTCTTTCTCGCTGTAAGTCAGTAATCTTAAAAACGACTAATGCTATTCATTTTGTTCATTGCTAATGATGAAAAGACATTTTTGGAGAGTCCTTTTTCCTAATTATTAAAATTGTATTTAATTACATTATTCATCCGGGGTTAGGAATAATTTTGTTCCAGCCAACATCAATCTTCAAAACTTTATTTCTTTGTAAGTACCAGTATCATAACTGCCCTCGTCCACGTAGCTTCATGAACTAGGACAGAAGGAGATTGAAATGTATGCAGAGAATGGGGAAAGCGCTTTCATCCATGAGTGGACTGAAGTAACAGAAAACGATATTGTAAACAAAACAGTGGAGTAGTTTGCAGAACTTGACTAACTGTGTTGTGTTTGGAGGAAGTAGTCCTAGTTGGCATTGATCTGCTGCCTGCCATTGTCCAGGTGCATATATCCTGTACCCAACAGGAAATATTACTCTTTTCAAGGTGCTAAATCGTCCCTACTTTTATGGGACACAATGGTCTGGGATAGTTTGTCCCACAGTTCATATTTAAAAATGTACTCGGATCTAGCTCATAATTAAATTGCATGTTTTACTTCATTAACTATCTTTTTGGCCTATAGCCTGTGCAGTCAGGTAAAGATTGTAGCTCAAACAATTAGAATGTAGATATGGAAATGTAGGTGTGTGAAGACCAGTGTTAAATACTATTTGAATGAATGTGTGATTTGGAGATCTTTGTTGGTGCTGGTGAAGGATTCAGTTGATTGTTGTGAGTTGTGAAATAATTGTGTTGTATATTGGTGAAAGATTTAACAACATTCGCCTGTAATGAAGGTGTGCAAATGTAATGTTTAGATTCCTAATGTTTGCTTAACAAGCAGTCAGGTCTTTGACCCTAGCACATTGCCCTTAATAATGAACTTCAATTTCTCCAAAAGACAGAAGACTTGGAACTTATTTTAATGGTAAGAAGTTAATACCATAAGAATTTATTTACTTAATGTCTGAAAAAATCAAGTTTGTGATTGTAACTTCTCTAAAATTTTGTTTCATCTCATGGAGATTTTTATATATTTTTTAAACTTTTTGTTTGTTTTAAAGCGAATCTTCATCTTTCATGAAGATAATGTTAAATAGGAGACAGTTCTTTCAAATTCTCTTCATTACCATCTTTGTGGTTAAGCCTATTACACATACTCAAAGAGAAGATATAGCCATTATCCACATTAGTCAAACCGAAACATGATAAAATTGAACAAATGGGAATCTGATATTCGTTTTGCACACCTCTTATATGATTATTTGTGCCATTACCTGTTGTGCCTGATATGAGATTAGTGTTTTTACTGTGTGATGAGTATGTTGCATATCTTTCCCAATGGGGTGCTGGAACAGCGTTAATGAACATTCCAGTATAAAGATACTCAATGGTGCCAAATTCAAGTATCGTAGGTGGACCCTCATTAATAAGTCACTCCAAAGGAGTCTGTATGTACTGATGAACAGTATGTTTAATATTTGGGAAGATAAGTATAAAAAGAGAAGTGAGTCAAAAAGGAACACGAGAGAAGTTACCTCTTAATTATTGTGTTGTACATGTGTGTTGTGTAGTTATAAACACCTAGTTTACTTTAAATTAACTTTGTTGCTACCAAATGTTTGAAACCAAATGGAAACTCATTTTTTATCATGGTTTTTATCTTTCATAAGATGGTAATGAAAGATATTACAGCCAGTTATACCAAAAAGTAGGAATATGGGAATCACATTAATTCATTTAATGAATTATGGTTAACAAATGCGATTCTGAATATCCTTTTACTTCTTGAGTATACAGTGTCAATTCTTTAATTGCCTAATATCAATCTCTAAAACCTTGGCTATGAATAGCTGAATGTTTTTATATAATAATTTCTGTTTTGAGAAGCTTTGAATATTCATATGGAAACAATGGTCTTTTTATACATGGTGAACCAAACATTGCTTTGTTTTGGTCATGATGCATACAGCCAATTACCTAGCAATGTAAATTATTTTACTTTTTAACTCTTAAGAGATTGGTTTTACATAAATCTAAAGGGTGAAAATCATGAACCAAGTCACTTACAATACAAAAAATGAGCTTTCGTAAAATGATTGTTATTGTTACTACCTTGTTAAAAATGAATTTATTTCTTCAAATGGGCACTTTGTTTCTGCAATGCAAAATTCCTGATAAGAGTTTCATTTATTTGCATGATTTGGCCTAACAGAGATATTTGACAAAATGTCACTATTTACAATATTAGCTGCTCAAAGATTTTAATTATAAGAAGAATTTGAACTGTAAAACTAGTTTTCCTTCATACCAAATAAATGACGATGAATGCAATCGTGTGAAGTAGTGACACAAGAGTGTTCATTCACTCAAACATCTTAGTTTTATATATTTATGAAAGGTGATGTAAGTTTTCCTGGTAGATTCAATTATTCATTAATAATGTATAGAGAGTTAATTCAATTGAAAATAACTTGAAGAATAATTTATAAAACTTAATGTCTCAATCTTGCCTTCAATTTTCTTTTCCTCTGACAATGCCAATTGGCTATTTTGTTAATAACAAGCTTTTACAAATGGTATTATAATATTTAATGGCTTAAAATACATATTAACTCTCCATTTTTTATTTTGAAGGGTTTTTTCTCAACTCTTACTAAAGAATTTTGGTTTTAAATTTAAAACATCAGCAGGTTGTTATGATAATAATTCGAGAAGATTAAGAAGATTTTAAAATTATTTTCACATTAACTCTGTGAAAACTTCTGACATACTATTTTAATGTACTGTCTCAGCTTTTTACTCCATTATTACTTTTAACAGCATTTTGATTTTCATTTTTATTACATTAGTGTCCATGTACATTTTTTAAAACACAAGATTGTCCCATTTTCCGCGATCAGCCTCATTATCCCATAAAACTATCAGGACAACATTATGTTCTACATTTTGCTTAATTCCCCCCCCTCTTGGGTTCAGTAACTAAAAAAACACGAAGTACTTCAGTTCATGTGAAAACCTTCAATATGCAACTGTACACTGCACTTCATGGAGACCTAGGGACATCTTAACACTCCGAACTTTCTGTAGTAAAAATTATTCATTATTTTCTTCTGTATACATGTTGACAATGGTGCATTTGGAAAACATTTCTGTATTCAAAATGAAAGTTGACAAAATTATCTGAAGCTGTTTGTATCTATTTTTTGTTTTTATTTGCAGTAGCTTTCATGTTATTTGTTTAAGGGAATCAACATTTTAAAAAAAAAATGCTAGGTATATTGTGTTGTTTGACAAATATTGCATTCTAGCACCTCAGCCATTTGTTTTACATCAGTATTCCTGTTGTGGGAATTAAATTTCTTTCAAAATGAGTTGCTGATTGCTAATTGATCTTCAAATGATCAAAAGTTACAGAAATTGATGTGTTTAGACAGCTTTTATTTTGTTTTACATGCCTTGATTAGAAAAGCGTAGTTTTGGGAGAATAACAAAACTTGTTCCTTTATTTCACACTCAAACAACAGAAAAATATTGGTTACGTTCCAAGGACATGACCCCCATCAATCAAAGTTAAAATAAAAACTTCAAGCAAAAGAGAATATCGTATTCTCATTTTTATGGAACTGTCTGTCTATTCCCACTATTTTGTTTTGTTTTGATTATGTCTAATGCCTTTTTAGAGGGAGATTGCCTGCTCAAAATGGCTATATTACATCAAACATTTTAATGAATTATATTTTATTATGATTTGACAATTTGTGTAATTTTCATTCAAAATTCTCAATAGATGGATTTAATCTTCAATAAAAACTAACCATCTCTTAAAAAGACATTGGATATAATCAAAATAATAACCTTTTACTTGGGGAGTGACTTTTGTGATATCACCCTTTAGGAGAAAAATTAATGCCCCACATTTTTGTTAACTATACATGAACCCTACGCTACACTTATAAAATATACAATTTCTCCCCTTGTGATTATAACTATAACTTGAATTTTCAGATCTTTTCATTCATTTCTTATAAATTCATCATTCTTGCTCTGAATTTCTTAACAAAGTATTTGTCTTTATGCAAATTTTCTGAGATCAATGGAAAGACTGCATTTTGAACCAAGATTGGGACAGTATGAACTGATTATTTTGTTCTTAATGAAACCTCATGAGTAAAAATATTTACGTGTACAAGAACAATAGTGTAGAAATCATACTTGCTTTATTCATTAAAATGTGTTACATATGTGAATGAGGTTGAATGTATTGCATAATTATAAATTTGAATGCATGTATGTATATAAGAATATCCATATGTATGTATGTATGGTTTACAAAGATGATTATTTCTATTTTACATGCCATCACAGTATGTCATTATATTCATTAGACAATACATTGGGTTTTTATAAATGTCAAAACACACTATCTTTACTGATTTAGAAGGAAGTGTAGACTACAGAAAAATACCATTGAGATAATTTTAAAAAGTATTCACAATACATGGTTTTATTCTCAAATTTAGTTTCTTTAATATTTTTTATCATAATGATTTGTGTCTGTTTTTTTAACAACACTTTGTTATTTCCTGATTTTAAGAATAAGTGTGTGTTCATAATGTATTTTCCAGTTGACATGTTACAGTCTTACAATTAATATTAATCATGAAAATTCATCAAAAATCTTTACTCAATTTAATTTTGTATGAGCATTTCCAAGGTAGGTAATTTTTTAAACTCTTATTTATGTTTTCTGACAAACATTAATGCTTGAGCAAAACTAAATGATATTTTTCTTTTTTGAATTTGCTTTATAAAGGTAAACTTTACAGAAACTGAAAATACAAAATCAATTTTTTCTTGTTTGAATAAAACAGATAAACCAAAACAATGTTATTGGTTGTTAAGGGAGTATTATACTACATTCTTGATTTCCTTTAGGTGAGCAGTTGCCAACCTTTCAGTAATTATGAATCACTATGTTCATAATTTTAAATCCAACAAAACTTCAAAACAAAATGTTTAAAAAGACGAATTGAAAATATCAATATTATAATTAAATTTTTCCTACAAATTCACTAATACTTCTAATTACAGATCAATGAATCGAATGTTACCTACTTCTTGGGTAAGATGTCTCTGTCACCTTTTTTTTGCTTTGATTTTTAATGAAAAATAATGTACCTTTTTATTTGCAAGACCCAACAATTGCATTAAACATGCATATTACCGTCATGTCAACTGTGATATTCAGTAATGTAGCCTATGAAAAGAATTGTAGTAGTACAGTCATTGAAATGCCATACCAAAGATGTAAATAAAATGCCTTAATATGTACAAATTGTAAAGCAAATATTATATATTGTGAACATATAACCAAATTATGTATCCTCAGTCTTGACATTTACAGAAGTATCTCATTAACAGTTAACTAGTCCTGTCTCAAGTCATTACACATTTCTGTAAATAATAATTTCTCTTTCAGTTTATAACTGGTCCCTGAGTTATATGGTGCTTTCTATATGTTAATTTTTGTAATATATCTCTATTGAAGTCAAGAGGTTAGAATTGTCGTGACAACATACAATTCTGATAGCTACATATATGTTCAGAAATGTATGCTTAATGGCATTGCTTATTGAATTAGATATTTCATATTCTGCTGTCAATGACTGTACTGTTTTTTATTACATTTAAAGTAAAGTCAAACAAATAGGTATAATAATAAGTGCATTATAACATACAAAAAACATTATTTATGGTGTGTTTCATTTCAGTTATATAGTTGTTATTCTGATTGCATGGTAGTTGGGGAGCATAACACCTATGTAACTTGGGGACTGTGAGAGTGCATGGTGATCATGATGTTGCAGTTATTCAGTATGTATTCTGTATGGTGTGGTTGTTAAAACTAAAAAAGGAAGAAAGAAAAAAAAAAAATTAGTGGCTAATCTTTGTGTCCATGTGTGGTTGCAACGTATTTTCTGCAATAGCCAAAGATGGAGACACTTTGATATATACCATGTGGTGTAGAGGTGATTTGAATGATGTTACCTTTTAATTTGTACTATCATGTGCTGTTTTTCACCAGAAGATATTTCATTTGTAAAGGCCAGTTTGTTTATAAATATTTAATTAATAACAGTTGTGTGTTTTGTAGTTCAGTGTTTTTTTCCTTTCCCATGCATTCTATAATTTCCACAGATTCCTTGCCCATTACTGGCCAATTTTATATTATTAGTTGTACCAAAAATATTGCAGGTTTTATGAAAACTTGTCATTACTCCATTTAGTTTCTTTTCAATTTCATTGACTATTGCTTTTGTTTCCCTAAATTTATTGTACAAGTTCTGTTTCTAAATTTGTCATAAATTGTAGTTACACTGCTTATTTTCTCTCTTCTCCTTAAAGGAGACCATTTTTATTCCTAAGGCTTCGGTTATTATTAGGGAATGGATTTTCATGTAAAAACATATTTTTACAGGAACTAGTTACAGTAAAATTTCCATATATCAAATCTGAAGGTTTCTTCAATAATATTTGAGAGTATATAGAAACTTCAATATACAGAAATTTTTCCAATTGCTATTACAACAATTTTGGAAAAATTGTGTAAAATGGGAAATTCAAACATTTAATAATTAATAAATGTTTTAATGATTCATTCCAGATATTTATTAATAGGAACATAAAATTAGTGTTGCTATTTTTGGTAACATTAAGGGATTTTTATTTTGACCTTTCTTCTTTAGCATGTAACAGCAAACTGAATTGGAAAACTAACATTGTAATGCAAGGTTATTATACAAACAGGCATGTGATTGACCTCCAGATCACTTTGTCAAACACATTTCCACAACTGACAAGTTCCCATGTGGAGGGATATCAGGAGTGCATAACCGTCATGAAAAAAGCTGGGAATTGGACATAGAAAATGTATAAACGTTTATTCAATTATACAAACTTCCAAAGGGAAGTTATACTTTCCAAAGTAGTAATACTCTCCTTCCAACTTGAACAATACTAATTTTTCAGTATGTTCTCTATATTTTTATTTCAAAAAAAAAAAAAAAAAAGTTAAGTCAGAAAATGAGTTTCGTATATGGAAATAATTTTCAATACATAGAAACATTTTTAAATGGAATTTTCAAGGAGCAGGAAAAATTTTTGATTTACAGAGAATTTTGATGTACAGAAGTTCATTATATGGAAGTCTGATTGTTTGTGCATTCAATTATATTTTCTAGAGTTAACAAGACTTTCTAAATAAATTAGAATCATTTCTATTTTACATAGTTTTACTTTATACTACCCTACATATTTTATTACCAGGGAATGGATTTCTTTGTAAATACATATGTATGTACTGAGTGAGCTTGTATCGATACTAATTTGCATTATCTTTATGTTTCACAGTGTGTGGAGTTGAAAAATGCTACTTTTATTTTCCATATTTTGGATTTTGGGACATATTTGAATAAAAGTCCATACTTTTAATAAAATCAGTCCATATAGCATATTAAGCTTAACAGTGAAATTTCATTAAGTATTAAAAATGCATTTCAACAATAAAAACTTTAAAATTTTCAGTAAATCCTTAAATATTAAAGTTTTTTTGAAAAGTAGGGAGAATTGATAATGGGAAAGCAAATTCTTAATGTTTTTGACGTATGTAAAGAATAAATCCACTCTCTCGCCCTGAAGCCCTGTGTGAGGGGCCTGAGTCCCAGGAGGTGAAGAGGCAATGAACTATTGAATTGTTTGACAAGTGATCTTGAGACCTCAATGGTCTGCAAGAAACGCACCTCATCTCAGTGTCCACATTACCCCCTCTCCTTCCCCTGGAGGCTGCCACCCGGAAATTGCATGACATCACAGAGTCTTGGACATCAGAATTCAACTTATACAGCTCAATTTGCCATTTACCATCTCCTCATCGTCAATCAGTTCAATACAGTATATTGTCACCAAAGAGGGGAGTGACAAGCCAAGAGTTTAGATCAGACAATAAAAAAGGAAGAAAAATTGGCTGTGTAATTTATGATTATTCTAAGGGGCTATTTGAGAGTTCATACGTAAAACTGCCAGAATTGTACCCATCAAATGCCTTGCATGTATGGATATCAAATCGTAACCATCAAGAACCCAGATATGTCCTAACACAGTTTATTCTAAAATAGTGACATTTTAATAATGGGACATTTTCATTATGATAGTTCGCAATAAAATTTTAGAACATATTCAATTTGCTATGAAGTGTTATGATCTTATCACAGCACATATTTTAATTTATTATTATTTTCAAGGAATGTAGCAGTAAATGACTATTCTTTTAAAAGATAAAATAATTTTTCAATAATAAATACTATTTCAAAGATTTAAAATTTTATAGCAAAAAGTACATTTAAATGATTACAATTTCAATTATAAAAGTACATTTAATTACATAATTTGTGTTAATTGGGGCAGATGAAAATCTCATTTCACAATTTTTTTAATTGCCCCAATATTCAATTATTATACAGCTTTAAACCAATGTAATTCATCGTCAATTATGCCTCTAAAGAATATAAGTAAACAATTCAAGTATCTCTGCAAATTACAATCTTTCAAAAAATTTCAACAGAGAGACAGTAATAAGTTTATGATATTCATGTAATAGAATACAAGTGAGTTTATTTGTCAAACGCATTTAATTAATCGTATATGTTAATATCAATACTGTTTCAAAGCCTTCAGAACTTTCCTCCAGAATAGAAGAGTATACAGGAAAAAGTGTTATTTGTGTAGGAGGTCTCGTTTCTTGTCTGTTAATCACAATACATTTTTCTTCTGATTAAATCTGTACTCTATTTTTTATCTAAGGAGAGGGAAAGAAATCTATCAGGAGAGACTCTACGTAATGCGAATATCTTCACCATTATTGTAGGGTAGCAAGCACTTAAATACTAGGTTGCTGAACTGTTGAAGTGACAAATGTTCTTTAGAGTTTACAAATCTCCAGTTTCTTTCAAAAGAAAACTATTGATTCAGGACCTCCATTTCCACTCGTTTCCTATAAAATGGACCACAATTGTTTCCCTGAATTTCCCAATATTTCTATACCTTGAGTCATCGTACTGGGTGGTAACGTGCAATCAAGATTACAAGGGAATGATGGTTTCCTTCTACATAAGTGCTAATGGAAATTTTAGGTAGAATAAAAATGTTAATAATTTGAATTGTTAACTTTCTACAATTATTCCTTTTAATATGTGATTTTTCATTGCCTAAAGGAACATTTTTGCACCTACACTTTAGTCAGAATAAATGTCTTTTTGTTCACTTATTTCAATTAATAACAATAATAATAAATAATTTTAGTAAAATAAATGCCTGAACTTCCAGGCTCTACTAATAATAAATCTTTAGAAATATTCACAGCTATTTGGGGAATATCATACACTAATTACAGGAGATATCCAACAAGTGAGTGAGGAGGTGAAAATAAATATCTGAAGAAGCCAGTTTGTACTTTTTTTTAAAACTTAAACATATTTGAGCTCCCAAATGAAAACATTATGTAACAATGCTGAAGAACCCACACTTTCATACAATTTTTAATAGCTTTTCCGTGAGAAAGATTTAATTTTCACTTTTATACACAAAACATTAGAAGATAAAGTTCTCAATTTACTTAGTGTGTTCCTTACTGCGGCCAAATTTGAAGTTGAACAAGAGAAAATAACTATATATCTATGCAAGTTTTGCTGTAGAAGTATCTTTCTATATAACACCTCATCAAATTACTACTCTAGTTTCTAGCATTGATACTATTACTATTTTTTGCAATAGAATGCAAGAGATCCAACTGTGCATTGATCATTTGAGATGCAAAGGGTGAACTCAGAGATGGAGTGCGACAGGAGAAGAAAACTTGAGTTTACTTTTCAAATAGACTGGAGAGTCTCCCACAATTATTTTGCCATTAATATATAGTTTTGTTAATACAACTATATTTTTATCAATAATTAGGCCTTTTAACCAGTTTTCTCTGAATGAAAACTTCCTCAAGTATATCAATTTTATTACTAATAACATGATCAAACCCAATTTGTTTCATTGCAATGTCATAAAGGATTTAAATAATTCTGATTAATTTTGCACTGGACTCTATTGAGATTTTGAAAAAGGAAATTTAAATTGATTGAATCTAATGATGTTTGAAATCCACGAAAAGGCAGTAAACTTTCATATCTTTCAATCTTAACAGTTGCAGGCACAATCAGTGCAAGATAATTTGTTCACTCTTAAGCCAAATTGATTAAATTCAAAGGAGCAATATTTTTCAACAATAAAGTTAAACCATAATATATAATAAAGTAAAAAAATATATTTTGAATATCATTGCATGAATTTATGCTATTTATTTAACCTGAATTAATTTGGAAGAACTCCACAAAAATAAAAAAACTTAATGCAAATCATTTTTTTCAAACATTTTTACTCTTATTGTTTAATTTAGAGCTCTTGTCATCAATGCAATCAGTATCTTAAATAGTAACATAGAAATGTAACATAAAATTCTTTAAAAATACTACATGTTTCTTGTAATAAAGAACCTTGAGATTTATCTATAATAAAAAATATTTATAACGAAAATTCACTACAGCACAGGCATTAGATGAGTTTGGTTGGTTTACCTTCTAAACCCATTCAATGACACTCTCTCCATATAACAATTCTTTCAGAGCCAGATTAATAGCTGGTATAATATAGAAGCAGATGAAATAATCAAAAAACTGTCAAGTGAAAAAGAACAATAACTGTAGGCTTAAAATTTAATGCGAAAAATGCAGTAAGATTGCGCATTAAATGCATTAATCACAAGTAAAATAACTAACTAATATAGTAATTTCGGATAAATTTCAACTTTGTCGTCACGTATAATAGCAATAAAAATGGAGAAATCTCTCTAATATCTTAAATAAAAACGAATACAATGACAAAGGGCGCGTGCGTTTGTTGCGTCGTCCGCTAATAAATAACTTCGCTAATAACCTCTTCCGTTTCCTTCATTCCCTACATTGATTCAGCTTGCAGACGTTTTCTGTTATCCGATCTTCATGCGATATAAAGAGGTATCCCAAAGCACTTCAGCGATTCCCGCCATAAAGTTGTTGACATGTAGTTCACTCTATCGGCATTCGGCTCAATTCACCTGTTCACTCAGGTGACAAGAGAAAGCGCTCAAGTAGCGGAAACTACGATACCTCTTCACATCGCATGAAGATCGGATAACAAGAAGCGTGTCCAAGCTCCAGAATTCGTACTGGGATATCCGATCTTCATGCGATGGGAAGAGGTAGCATGAAGCTCCTGGCGATTCCCGCCACAGAGTGGGTGACATGTGGTTCACTCTATCGGCATTTGACTCAACTCACCTGTTCGCTCACGTGGCAAGAGAGAGCGCTCAAGTAGCGGGAACTGCCTTACCTCTTTACATCTCATGAAGATCGGATAACAGAAACCGTTCCAAGCTTCAGAATTCATGTTGGGAATGAACGGAGAGAACGATTGGTTTTCACTATCTCCGCTAGATAGCTGACGTCGCGCTCTCCCAAGCACGACGTCGGCTGAAGCTTCAATTAGTGCAGTGCCAATTGCATTCTTTTCAGAAAGGGTATACGTTGTTTTTTTTAATAAGTTTCTTAGGAAAGTTACGCTGTAAACATTTAAAATAGAAATATAGGTAAATTTAAATAAAAACAATAGAATCAAATTGTATTATTTTCCCTAATTTAATTATATTATTCCGTTATGTATTTTTTTCAATTTAATCAAGAAGGATGTGCTTTGGAGAATGCAGAGAGAGATATTTCAAAAGAAAAAAAGTTCTGTAACATAGCGGTTTGTAGTATGTTTTGTTAAGATATATTTCTATTTTAAAAAAATATAAAGAATAAATAAAACATATTTGCAGTGACAAACATAGGTTCAACATGTTACCATCCAGCCTACAAAGATAAACAAATGATAAATAAAAATGTTTCTCCTGCATATTCGACTCGTGAAATTAAAGGAATAGTGTTTTCCTATACATACATACACAATGCCCCAGTCAGGGCGGTGTATCTCAAAAAGTTTTTTGCTTTTTCTATTCGATTTTTCTTACCGCTTCTACCTACTGGCCAATTGTAAACTGCGATTCATCTATCCTAGGAGGTGTTATACATCGATCGCTATGTCGATGTTCAATAAACAACGTATGTACTACAACATAATCTCTGACTTCAACATACGCTTTCAGTTATTTTTAATATTTGGGGTATTTTGGAACTCTGTAGGACAATTTCTCTCGTGGAATACCTACGCCCATTAAACACGACTCGTGCTTTGGAAATTCTCGGTTCTCCTCGCTTCGCGAGTCGGGAATGTATCGACAATTTTCAAAGCACTCGTATTACCTACAATAATCACAATAATTTTACTGATTATCCTCCTTTACTAATTATCCTCCTCCAATAATGATCGTATGTTTTCAGTTTTACTTAAAAAATGTATAAACGGTTTTAAAGAACTGAATAATTCCATTTCATTGTTGCATTTACATGCTACAAAATTTAATAGATTTTCAGTAACAATATTATTAGTTAATTGCAATGCTGTAGCGATCTCTACTAAATCAACATTAATGTGTTCGATAATTCGTTATGTTTCGTTTAGGATATCCATGTCTATTGAGGATATAAAATTAGTTCAAAGGAAGCAATTTAGAATCGACGAGAAATTTGCGTCCACATTTGAGCAGGCTGGCAATTAATAGATTAAACACACACACCCACAAATCTTTTCGTATATCATCAACACTTTCAGTTTTCTGAGGGTATAATTAATTCAGTTAATTAACTCTCAGTTTTTGCTGCCAAAACTGAATAAGTTGCTATTTTTTGAGTTTTCGAAAAATTGGAAGTCATTTGAAGCACTTCCACACACAAATGCAACAATGTATACAAATCGCTGGAAATATGCGTATTAACAGCGAAAAAGATATTTCAAAGAAAATAATTTGCGTAATTTTCGAAAAACAAAAAAATAGAGCAATAGATTTTATGTCATCTTAAACGAAGCATTTAACACTATCCGTGCAAAAAATTGAAGAAAAAATTTGGAGCCGTTTTAGAGAAAATGGTGTCACTTAAATAACCAAACTTAAAGAACGTTATTGAAAATCGCAGAGTGTTTAATCGACAGAGGAATATCATTTTGGAAAAAATCCTTTGAATAGTTTAGACACTAGTGTTATGCACAGACAGGCGGACTGACGGACGGATAGACGGCCGGATGGACGGCCGGAGGGGCGTTAAAAAAAAAAAAAAAAAAAAACCCTTTTCGGTATCAGGGGACAACAAAACGTGTATTTCCGTTGAAATCTCGAAATCTATTTTTCGCAGCATTACATAATTTACTCTATACTATGTATATTATTCTGTATATACGTAGGTATACGAGAAAGTTATATGATAGTAACATTTACAAATAATATAATAGTGTATTTGGTACGGTGAAACACCACTCGCAAATTTGGTAGTTTCACAAGCTCTGCTGATCCGTAACCCGGCCCTGTACCTATTCAACGTACCTTTCTTTTCAAAGTGAATAGGCAGAATACAAAATTACATAACCGCTAGTTCTTGAATGGACCCGATCAAACGTCCCTTCCTGTACGCCACACGCTGACATTTAACACAGGGAAGCGAAAAGGACACAAGTGGACAAGCCAAGGCATGCACTGATATAATTCGATTAACAATTTTTTTGTACTCGATGCAAATCGTGAATCTAATAGCAGGTGACGGTAAAATTATGTCCCCCTTTTACAAAGTTTTCCTATGTGTGAACTAGATTCAAAGAAATAATTATTGATTACGGTTTAAAAGTATCTACCATGAATTGTGGACCTATTTCTGAATTGTATTCCCCACAATCATACACCATCAGAATCGTATTACTCTTTCCCGATTGCGTACAACAGTTAAGCAAGGAAAATAAAAATGTTCTATCTCGCCTTACTACTTAAGAAGAGAATGTATTGTAATCATGCGCATGAAATCAGTGATTTTCAACAGGACTTCTATTGACGGACTCTGGTAGGATAAACATTGTTCCTGAATGAAGTAAATTACTTGCTCTAACACTTTCTATAGCCATAATCAATGTTTTGTGGGTCCCAGATACAAAAAACAAACATTGACGGTAATACCAATGTGTGTTTTTATTAGCGATTTTTATTAGCTTGTGTGTTTTTATTAGCGGTTGAAAATTATTTTACCAATATTAGGGTACAAAATTACATTAAAGACATTAGCGATTTATTATTTGTTATGGGCCGTTTAAAGAACTAAGGGTTAACGCCCCAACCCAAAATTTTGAGAAATGGAAGGACAAATTCTTGAATTTCTATTGGATTGAAAAATTTAATTTGAAAGGGAGTTCAGAATCGAATTCTGATGAAAATGTATTTTTGTTATTTCGTATTTTTGTTTTCTGGCACTTTCTTCTTTAGAACAAGCCAAAAATGATGTTGTGATAACGAGAAGTACGTTTATTTTGTATCTTGCATTTAATTGTCATGAGAACGCTCGTTTTTCACCCTGCAGCTATGAAACTATTATTTTCATCAGCATCTATTTTCGATTATTTTACTCATGAGATGTCCATCAATGAAATGTAAGACTGACATCTGCCTAGTCCAATCAGAGGCATTATTCGTACCCATGGAATTAGATAATTTTCGTTTTATCATCGCGAAGTGCACTTGATTCCAGTACAACTTGGTCGAGAAAGTTCCAAATGAACAAAACCTAAACAGATGTCTTCTGCGTATTAACAAATTGTTGTTGGAGAAATGAGATAAGCAAGTGAAAAAGTCCCTTTCTCACTCCTAATCCTTCTTAGACTACCTAAAATCTAATTAGTGGTACAAAAATTGTCCTATTTGTCAGAATGAAATTTCTAAATGAACCAATATTTTTGCTTAAAAAGCTGGTTTGGATATACTACTCATAAAAAATATTAACCATTCAAGTCGCTAGACAATAATTTCACATATGACCCACGACAGAATACAAGAACATGAAGCTATTAAAACAGGTCATGCAAATGCTCGAGCATAAAATCGTATACAAATTAAAATCGTATCTGCAATTAAATGAGGAACACCATTCTTTTATTCTGAACAAAATAAAGAATTCAGGAACCACACGTTCAGCTCTAGAATCAAATAAAACTTCACCAGTATATATAATTTCATCAACTACGCACTTCAAGAGTGCTCATTTCAATAAATATAAAATGAATAGGGGTGTTACATTCACAGACCTAAATGTTTTTGTGAGTTACGTATTATTCTAAAAAGTTTTTAATTTTAACGATTATGATTATGATAATGATTTGCATTGTTGACATGATGTTCTGATTTCACTTTCACTAATTTCTACACAGGACCTTCACGGCCGATGCCGCTGTATCTTCTATCAAAACGTTGGTTTTTATATTAATATTAATTATTGAGAGACTGTTGATATTTATATTTACTACTAACTACTACATATTTATTTTCATTCGTGAAGTAATATTCATAAATACCCCTCGAGGTTCTGAATTTTCCAGATTAACACACTTGTAGCTACGCGGCTCGCGAATTTATCGGTAAACTCAGAACCTCTCGTGGTAGTATTACCTTTGACTATTCCACTAATGAAATTAAAACTATACATAAAAAGTGCCTCAATTAGGGCAATGTAGTATCTCAAAAAGTTCATCCCTTTTTCTATCCGATGTTTCTTACCACTCCACCTCACTGGCCAATCATAAAATTGCTGTAGATGTCCAATAAACATTGTATGTCCTCTAACATAACCTCTTTTATTTTAACATAGTTTTCAGTTATTTTCAATATTTGGAGCATTTTCAAACTCTGATGGATGTAATTTTGTTCGTGAAATAGTATTTTAAATACCACTTGTGCTTTGGAAATTCTCAGATAAATCCCCTCCTCGCCTCACGAGTCGGGGATTTATAGACAATTTCCAAAACAATCGTATGATAATATTTCAAATTACGCGCTGTCTATTAGCAGAAGTTGGTGAAATATACATTTTTTTGTTGTGTATGTTGGTAGACATTTTTGTTTACATTCTACGAGAATACTATTTCATGTGGTTCTCTATGTTTTGAGTGGATATATCAGGGTATATGGAGGAAAATGGTAAGTACACGAGCATTTTTATTGAGTGGTGTTTTTCACTTTGTTATTAGTAGATTTTACTTTTTAGTAACAATGGTGAAGTCGAAATGTGAATTTTAGAAAAGAAATACAGTGGGAAAACTTGTAGTTATATTTCAGAGTAATTCTAAATATGATTCACTTGTGGTTTATTGAAGAAAGAACCATCAGTCTCGTTATATGTTGAAATGTATGAAAACTTGAAAAAAGTGGGCGATTTTGTTAATATGAATGTGAATATTTCACATTCAAAAAAAATACCATGACCGTGAATTTCTTTCATTAAATACATTTGTTTATCTTACAACAAAATTAGTGATAACTTGCAAATATTATGAAGCGTTCCTCCACGAATTTAGAACTGACATTGTACCATGACGGTAAAAAATTAACACTGTATGATGTTAATGCGAGGCTAGTTTATGGGCTTAGATCTATAGAAAAAATATCAGACTGCTGGTATTATCTTTTGTGGACTCACAAACTTACCGAACCTTTGTAAAGTGAATGAATATGTGTAAATGTAATAGGTTTAGAAACAGAAAACATTTGCAAAGAGAGCATAAATGAAGCTATTGAAGAGGCTGTAGAAAGAAATTAAGATGTGAAGAAGAGAGACACTGAAGATATTAGTAAATGTATCCAAAAATATTATGGAGTTATATTTATAAGAAACAGAGGAAATCTACAGGAAATGAAGAAATTAATATGGTTTATACTTTTTAGTCTAGGAGTCTTCCTTCCTCATCCATTTATGTTTATTACTGTGGTGCACATTCTTAAAGGTTATGGAGGCAGTAAATCCATTAATTACTTCCATGTACTAAAAGCATGTATGACTGAAATGAAAACAATTTTCAAGGACTTGGTTCATCCAGATTTGCTTAAAAAATGTGTTCTAGAATCTGCCAAAGCAGCAATGAATCTTTACATAAAGTTATGTGGACACTCCTACCAAATATGTTTCTGTTGGTATGGATACCTTACATTTTGGTAGTTTTGATGAAACGTTTTACGTATAGTGAAACGTATAGTATTGGAATACTAAGAATGGAGAGTGGAATGAATTGTTTTTTGGTAATGATGGAATTGGAGATTGTTTGAATCAACTGAGCAAATACCAAGTGATTTATAAACAGACAAGACAAACATCCTGTTAAGTTACAAGAAAGATGGAAAGACGGGAGGAGAATAACCCTGGTGATCTCATTATATTGTTCAGAAATGCGTTATGATGAAACCTGTCTAAAATTTGAATTTTTCTCAAACTACATTTTTCAAATAAGTTACCCCTTTATCTTAACTTTTGTGGTAGTTATAAATCTCAAATTTTTACCACTTTACTTATTTTTACTCATATATATTGAATTAACACAGATATATTTGTCTAGATTCATTGGTTTAAAAAAAGAGACAAAAAACATTTTTCTGTTGAAATTTCTTTAAGTTTGAGAAATATATTTTTTTAAATTCCACTTTTCATATTATCATCAAATTGAGCTATCTACATCCTTAAAACATGTGCATGAAAATGATGTAAAACTTTCAGCACTATTAAATTGAAAGTTGCTGAGGAAATGGATATAAATTCATAGAATTTAGATTGATGATGCAATTAAACATCTTCAATTCTGAACTCTCTTGAAAATGAAGTTATTGCTTGATGAAGGTATCGAGAAAGTAGTAATGTGTCTATGCAATTTGAAAGATAGCGGCGGTCAGATTGTATGGTGAAGCAATGGCTGAAAACGAAATTATTAAAATTTCACAACTGCCATTCGTATTTGATAATAGCATAATCAGTGCTGCGGTAGAGAGTATAGATAACCTGTTTAATATTTTAAGGAAATTTATTTTGAATTTATTGATTATGAAGAAATCAATCAAGAAAAGGTAGGCACGCTATGAGAGTGAGTGTTAATAAACAATCCATCTATCAAAGAGCGTGGGAGAAAGGGACAAGTAGAGACTGGAAAATCTCTTGACTGTGGGAAGGAGAATCAAATATTCTGGAAATAAATTCTTCTAATTTAAGAAATGTAGTCCAAATCAAAGCTTTGATGCGCAAGAACATATAAAAATTGACTTGATAAATAAAGGGTTCGTAGGCTTCCGCGGCCGGAGTCAATGTATTCTTGGTTATCCGGGATGAGCCGCGTCTCGGTCAATGTTACTGACGTTTCGGCCATCTTGCTGTGGCCTTCTTCAGAGCTTTACTGCTGACAGCAAGCAGGCCACAGCAAGATGGCCGAACCGTCGCGGCTCATCCCGGATAACCAAGAATACATTGATAAATAACATTTGACTAGACGAAAATGGGTTAAAGATTTCAAACGCAAGATGGATTATGAATCTAGTAATGCTACAACAGCACGTACTTTCTCTGATATCATCAATTGGCAGTTTCAATCGTAGCATAGAGATGCGAAAACCAATACTTTTAATGATCATTCATAACACAAATTCGAACTGCTTTCCAAATCGCGAGAAACATTTTCGCCCAACAATGAGAAAGAAATTCAATGGACTATATTCTTCTGTCTTCAAATGCCGTGACGCGGCGTTGCGATTACATTGCAATCTGATAAATCGTGAAAGTATCTCATCAGTGAAAGAAGCTTTAGAGAGATTCGTGTTTGCAGTTTCAAAGATAGGAAAACTTACGCGGAAGTATTCACATTTTCAAAATATTGTGCTTCTATTTAAAGATCTAATTTTGAATATCATATTTCCTAAAGTAAAAATATATATCATCAATATTGCAGTTTTGCAATGTTTTTTTATTGCAACTTTCGAAAACAACGAGAGTTTACTGAAAATTAATGCAGCGTCATTTTTATATGCGTACTTTCGGCTATTCGAGAAAAAAATGGAGCCATGTTTAAGACAGCCGACTTTACTTCCCCTTTGAAGGAAGGCGAGCGAAGGTTGTTTTTGTTCAACTTGGTTACAACAGCCCGATACGCTAAACGTTATACCACCGGACTTCACACAGGTTGGTGATAAGGCTGGAGAGTCTCAGTTTTGCATTGAATTCAGCTCTTCAGATGCACACAAACAGCATGACTGACGATTTTGCTCAATACGAACGCAACAGTCCGCTAGCTGCAGTTAAGTGATTTTCTTTGCCCGAGGAAGTCTTTTCCTCTGTGAAGCCCAAACCCACCGACATATTAATACTCCATTCCACCCTCTTCATAAATATATTCAATTTACGTCTGATACTCACGTACGCGTGTCCAGTCTGAAGTAACGCCGCCACTACAACAATCAACAAAATTCAAATATTCCAAATTAAGGTCATTAGAACTGCTTGCTGCACTTACTGCCTCTTGGTATATAAGCAATACAATTCTCCGCAAAGACCCAGCCATAGAACCAATCATCATCAGCCATAGAACCATACATCATCAAACTTTCACATGCATTCTCCCAAAATCTATCCACAGTTCCCGGTGCAAGCAATTTCTCTAGGTAACGCGAATCCCGTGGAACCGCACTGCTTAATCTAATGTTTAAAGGGAGGCCGCCATAGCTAACCTCTTTGTATCATTTTCATCTGAAAATGTTCGCTTCTAGTAACTGAAAAGTCGTATGTTAGAGAGTTGTATAATCACCACATTCCGCAAGAAATAAAACAACAACAACTGGGAGAGAGACGTGTTTTATATGATTTTTTTTGTTTTCAAACGAGATCTTATCTTGCGTTTTAATTGTGATCTCTTCGATAAACATCACAATTGCATTCAGTTCATCTCCTTTTATAGAGTAACAATCAAAGAGACTTTCAAGATTAGAAACTTCGTGTGGACTAAGTAAATCATTATAAAGTTGCGTTGTTATTATAGAAGTTTTCTTTGCTTTTAAATCGCATCTTGTCATATAATTTTTGAACTTGTTTTTCTATATATTCTCACATTCCTTGCTTTCACACTTTGCTCTCGCTCTTTCAAGTTTTTCAATTTTAAAAAGATGAAATACTATGTTATCTTTTAAAAATATATAAGAATCTATGACTTGAAGAATAACAAGGAATGAGTCATATTCAAAATATTATTAGATATTGAAAAAAATAAGCTATAACTCAAGTAAACTCTCATTAACACGAACTCTCTTAACACACGTTTCGTTGTAACATGAAAAAAGTTTGGTTCCCGACAAGGAAGCATAATATTATATAATCGGGTAACATGAATTTTTATAACATAAATACAGATTATTCCCGTTCCTTGAAATTTGTGTTAAAGGGAGTTTACTGTGTATGGATTGGAAATACAATAGAAAACATGTTAATGTTTTTGTGGAAGAATAATGCATTGTAAAATAACTATGAGGGGTGCCAAGGAAGGAGTTTAGTGCATCAATTATTCATTTTATTAACAACAGTTAAAATGTGTCATAGAAGAGTCTTCTAGGAATTAGTTTAATTATTTTTCTGGCAATTTCGGGGATTAAAGAATTATTCAAAAATTTCAATAATTTTTGGGGGAAAATCATTAGAAATATATTTCAATGACTACCTAAAAAGTGAATGTGGCCCTTGGTTTGTAAGTATTTTAAAAAGGTCTTGATGTATGTATTTTTAATTAATTTTTTTCTGCTTAGAATTTATAATTTTTAGAAGTTTTCAATATAATTTCAATAAGAATTTACTGCACTGTAGAAAAATCTTTCCAGTAACATTTTGTCAGTTGTTTGTGTTCAAGAGTCTTTGTTATTTTAGAAAAAGTTTTCCTAATCTAATGTATAATGCCATTGAAGATGTAATTATGAATTTTTACAAGAGTAAACTAGTTTCAATTTTGAGAGAGGGTTAACTAAAAGTTGAAAACTTTAGCTCACGTTATCTCAGAAATAGATTGACTACGTGATTTCCAAGCACGTTTTGTGTTTGTAAGAGAATTACTAGATGAGGTTCTGTTTTGTTACAAATATTATTGTATTATATCAAAGCATTGTGAAGAGCGCCGATCAAGAGTGAA